TCAGCAGTCTTTCCCATGATTGTGATTCCTACTGAACCTGACTGAGAGACCATTTAAAAGCTCAGGAACCCTTTGCAGGTGTTATGGCTTAATTAGCTGATTAGAGTGGGACACTTTGAGCCTAGAATATTGAACCTTTTCACAATATTCTAATTTTATGAGATTGTGGATTTTGGGTTTTCATGAGCTGTAAGCCATAATCATCTCAATTATGACAAATCACAGCTTGAACTACCTTGCTTTGCATGTAATGAGCCTATCTCATATATTAGTTTCACCTTTTAAGTTGCATTACTGAAATAAATGAACTTTTGCACGATATTCTAATTTTTCGAGTTTTACCTGTACATTAAAATTAGAATATTTGCAAAAAATAAAATGAGCAGAATCTGGCAAGATATGCTGAATCTTTTGTGAGTTCTTATGGAAATTTGTCATTTCCATCTAATCTTAAGGTTATGTTTCTGAAATATTTTGAAAAGCTGGGAGGCTTTTGAGGGGGGTTTCTTGGCCATGGAAAATGAGTACACTAGAGTTAAGTTTCATTTCAGCAGACTTGTGTTTATAATCATATGAGAACAAACTAATTGGTTTAACAACCAATAGCAGTTCTTGGCTAGCATGCAATTTAGTTCATAATGCCTGGTTTGCATATAATGAGAAAATCAGGAATTGGACAATGTGAGACTGAATTCTTGCCTGTTTCTGCTTCTGGTTTTCAGGTTTTGGAATTGGATATATATGGCCTCCTTTCCTTTTATATAAATAGGATCATTAAGTTTTTTTACAAACTAAGAGTACTTTAACTTTATGTCTTTTCAATGAGGCATATCATATCTATCTTACCTACAAACCACTAGGTAAGGAGACTGACCTAAAATATTTCATTCAATTTAGAAAATGTGAATTAAATAAAACGAAAGTATGCACAGCATCAGATCAGTGCAGTGATTGTCCTGTTACTCTCAGGCAGACTTTCTTTGTATTTTTGTTGAGTTGGCAAGACTATCTCAGCTGTGCAATGTGCAAAATCTGTATCAGCATTTTGTTCCAGAGGCATTCCTACAACTGTTGCTGGGTTTTTTGTTTTTTTTTTGTAAAGTTCACCAACAATAAAACTCTGTTTGGGATCCATTCAACTCAGAAAGAATCAGAGCCTGCCAGAAAAACAAAAGACAACCTTTTAACTTAAACATGTCGACACAATGGAATGAGATATACATCAATTATGGGGGAAAAATAGCCAGGGTTCAGAAAAACACGCAAAGGAGTATAGAATTGCATTTTGATTTTTACAGTACAGTTCTTTTGTTCTTTTTACAGAACTATATATCATTTGTAGCCGTAGTTGTACTGATCATAACTCAAAAACTTAGATAGCTTGAAAGAGCTTTAAGGCAAAAAGTTCCATAGATAACAGTGGTTGAGAATTCACTGAACCAGAGGGATTAGACTGGGGGGAAAGGTGCTATTAAGAGAAAGGAAGGCTAGCATAATCCTTAGTGTTCTCTTGAACTTCATATAATGGTGAAATGAAGACAGCAACAGGTACCTAGTTGACAGTAATAAATCCAGTTATTGTCTATATATTCCACGGGGAGCCATTGTCTTGTACACATGGCTCTACCTGTTCCCCTTCCCTTTTTCTCTGTCCATTTTTGTCTTTTGAGAAATATTGTAACAGTTTTTGCAAGGATGTTTTTCTGATGTACCAAATCCCTATGAAGTAGCCTGGTTTAGCACTGGCTAATTGGTAAGGACTCAATTTCACTTTGTACGCCCACAGGCTGAGTTCCCTTTAGCCCAGCGGTTCCCAACCTTTCCAGCTTTGCGGATTGATGTGGGGGGGGGAGGGGATGGTTCTACATTGGTGGCGGACCAATGTGCTAGCCGCTTGCGCAAATGGAGCTGCATGTATGACCGCACTCGCCCACTGCTTGTGCAAGTGGAGCTGTGCACCTGTGTGCATGCTTGCCTGCCACTTCTGTGATCCATTTCTGAATGGGCCACAGCCTGGTAGTAGTGGATCTCAGCCTGGGGTTAGGGACCCCTGCTTTAGCGTATTTGGACTTGTTTTAGGGGCGCTGGTCAAATGGCTGAAATAAAATGTCTGAGATAGGTTTATGTGGAATTATTTGATTTTTGCTGAACCTTAGTGACTGAAGATTGGGCTGGTGCCAAGCAGTTCTGATTATGTTTCTTTTCCCTTCTTTTACTTCAGCTAAATAAAAAGAATAAGTTAGAGAAAGAACAACTCTTGAGCAGAATCCAAATTTTAGCAATTTCCCTTTCTACTTAAGGCCCAATAAGAAGATTTGTAATATTAAGAACTGTAATATTGATATCCAGTGTACTGTGTATGACAGAATATAATGTAATGCATAATTTAACATTTCTAGAGTAATGTTTAAATAAAACACTAGGTTTATGCCTTTGCTTCATCTTTTACTCTAACAAATTAATCACTTCAGGCTAATTTTATCAAAAGTGAGTAGGTTGGAAATATGATAAATAAATCATATATGTATGGGAAGCACTCGCTTGGAGTGCTTGTGTTTTCCTTCATTTGTGCTGAAAGAAATATGCATGATTGGGAATCTCACTTTTAGACCTGAATTCTCTAAACTTGTTTTAATGTGGTCTTTACATACTGGGGTTCTCTTTTTTTTTTTTGACTGTCCAAAACTAGAAGTAACAAGGATCTCTCAGATTAGTGGATTTGAAAATAACCAAGCTCAGGGAACACCAAGAACTCCACAGTTCAACTCTGGGCTACAAATATTCTCTTCTATTAAAAACAATTAAATCAGAGACAACCTACTTTATCCATTGAGGTTCCCTGTCGGCTCCACTGATATATTTTGATGGGGCAGCATTCCTCATGAAGGGACATGTCCATGACTTGGGTCTTCCTGGCTTTGTCGCTCCTAGTGAAATAGCAGTAGAGGTAGAGGCTGCTGTGTCAATTATAGCCTAGCTTGAGACATGCTGATCTTGCTAGAGCAGGGGTCTTCAAACTTGACAGCTTTAAGACTTATGGACTTCAACTCCCAGAATTCCTCCACCAGTCATGTTAGCTCAGGAATTCTGGGAGTTGAAGTCCACAAGTCTTAAACTTGCCAAGTTTGAAGACCCTTGTGCTAGAGCTTTTCTCATCATCAGTTTAGATTATTGCAATGTGCCCTATGTGGAGTTGTCTTTAAAGACCACTCAGAAGCTGCAGCTGAGACTGCAGTGGCCCCTGTCTAGCTAGCATTTGTCAATGAGAGCACATGGCGCCTGTGTTATGGGCACTGCATTGGTTACCAGGCTTCCAGATATACTTTAAAGAACTGGTGCTGGCTTATAAAGCAGGGGTCCCCAGCCCCAGGTCCATGGATTGGCATCGGTACGTGGCATAGCAGAAACCGGGCCATGTAAACAAGCGAAGCCCTATCCGCAAGATGCAGGCAGCACACAAAATCACCCTCCTCAGGCCCGTGGAAAAACCTCCCTCCATTGAACCGGTCCCTGGTTCCCAAAAGGTTGGGATCCGCTGCTGCTATAAAGCCCTTTTATAGTTTGGTGCCAAGCAATCTGGAGGACACACTTCTCCATTAGAGTCAATTGGACCAATTCAGTCCAGCTGAGATAGCAGACTGGTTTCCCCATTTTAGGATGGTGATGGAACCTATGACTCAGAGATGCATTGGAATGGCCTCCCAGGAGAAATAAGGTTGTCTCCTACTTCAGTTTCTTCCTGGAAGCAGCACAAAATGGAGCTCTTCCAGGGGACCTTTGGGTTGTGGTGTCACTTTGGCAAAGGTTTATTGATTGGTTCTTCTTGGAGTTTGTGGTTATATTTTTCTGTATTTTATGTTTTTACTTTCACCCGAATAGACATTTTAATTGCAATTGGGCATTCTATATCTGTTAATTTCTGGGAGCACTTTGGGACTACAGTGCATTTTTCAATGAGAGCACATGAATAGCTATAATAAATAGCTATAATAAATAGCTATAATAAACAGCTACACACAGATACAGACACAGACACACACGAACACACACACGCACACATACACACATCTATCTATCTATATATATCATATCTCTATATCTCTATCTATATATATAACATACAACGTACGTATGTACATACATATACATATATATATATATATACATGTATATATATATATTTGTTTTCTTAAGTTTTCACAGGTATTTATATGTATGATATTCAGCTTTATTCGGGTATTTTCCCACATCATTATAGTTGACGAACCCAATACACAAGACTGATGATGGTAGATGAGATTCTGCCGAAACGTCGCTAAAAATCAGAGGTGGTATTCAGCAGGTTCTGACCAGTTCTAGAGAACCAGTAGCAGAAATTTCGAATAGTTCAGAGAACTGGCAAATACCACCTCTGACTGGAGATTTTACATTATCCTTCCCCTGCCATGCCCACCAAGCCATGCCTACATAACCAGTAGTAAAAAAAATTGAATCCCAACACTGACATACACACACACACACACACATTGTAGAACATTGCATAAAGGAATCTTGGCTTCCTTCTTGGACCTGCAATTTATTATCCATTAATGGAAGATTGCTGATGAATTTCAGCTCAATAATATGCCAGTGCTTTATTGAATGTGGTTATTGGTTAGATATAACTTGTTTTATATCTTCATCTTTCTTAGTCAAATATGGTGTTGACACTGCCTGGTCTGCTGAGTAATGTTTCTGTAAAAGCCACCATTCATTCCATTGGGTGTTGCCTTATTTCTCATTTTAGGGCACTGCATTTCTTTCTAGATAGAAATAGTTGCATTTGTTAATGCAACTGTTAATATAACTGCTCATCAGTTATGAGGTTGGGTGGGAATTGGGATGAAACTTCAATGGAAAAGAAGCAATGGGTGCGCCTTAAAACACTTAGCTTTCAATTTTCCCCCTTGATATGTTTTCATTGTTCTCACATCAGTTACAAACATTTTTTTTCTTTGTAGGAATTAGTTCCTCAAGATGGAGGACGGGAAGCCTGTTTGGGCTCCACACCCAACTGATGGGTTTCAGATGGGGAACATTGTGGACATTGGACCTGACGGCTTAACTATTGAACCTGTCAATAAAAAAGGCAAGGTAGGTTTCTTCAAAAGGCAATTAGTTCTTGGAGAAATTGTTTTGGTGAAAGAGAAGATGTTTGCAGTGAATGGGAGGCTACTATTTTAAAGCATTTGGAGTGCTTGGAACTTTTAATTGCTTTTTAAAAATATTTTTGTTACAATTTTAACTATAGCAGTAGAAACTAATGCAAACTAAACTGAAAGAGGAGAAAAGAATAAAAAAGTAAGAATAACACACACACACACACACACACACACACACACGTGCCCAGAGGTGTCTTCAACCCTTCATCACAATAAGCGTAAACAAATTTAGGCTTTTCAGCCTCTATAAACTTATGGACAAATATTTCTTCATCCCATAACCCAGGGGTCCCCAACCACCGGTCCGCGGACCGGTACTGGTCCGTGGGTCATTTGGGACCAGGCCGCCTACTTACTTTGCTTCGGCGCCATCTTGTTCCGACGTGCTGGATCGAGCGTTGGTTTTGACGCCGTCCCTCGGCCTCGCTCGACCAAAAACGTCAACTCCACGCCGTGCGTGGCTAGAGAAAAGGGAAACGTGGTAGCCGTGGAGAAGCTGCTCTCCCTAAGAAGGAGGCTCCTGATTCGCCGGGCTTACGCCAGGAGTTCTGCGAGGCTCTGGTGAAGGGAGGCTACGCTGCTGCCGATTACCTCGATCCCAGCCTGCACGAACTCCCTCGCCCTCTTTGGAAGCGGCCGGCGACCTGGTCAAGGCTCACGAGAAGCTCTTCTTCAATTGCCTCACCGACATGCGGCTACAGGCCACTCAGGTGAGCGGCAGGAAATGGGAGCTGGGCAGCCACAGACCAGCCGTCTCTCCGTCTGAGGGCCTCGGCAGAATCTCTGCCTCCCAGCGCACTTGGTCCTCCGCCCGCAGGCTTCCCCGGCCCCTTGCCAAGCAGGTTTTCCACCCCAGCCCAGCAGGGCCCTCGCTGCCTTCCCCTCGCCTGGCCGGCCAGGCTCCTTGGGCAACCCGGCTGCCTCGTGCCGAGAAGCGCGCTGCCAGGTGGGGGTCACGCGGCGCAGGGCAACACGCCACTGCCGAGGGAAAGCAGCGGGCGCTCCCTGGGCGGCGGCCTCGGCCCCGCCACCAGGGAAGCGGCTGCCCAGCTCCGGAGCTGAGACACACCTGACTGGCTGGAAAGGAAGGGTGTGTAGCGTTGGTGTTGTGTGTGTGTGTGATTTCTTGGCGCGCAGCGCGGGGTCTCTTTTGGCCGGTCCCAATTTTTTTTTCAGAGGGGAATATCATGCCTGTATTAACCATGATTATTAAATCCAATCCAACTTTGATTATAATTAAATTAAGTCATAACTAGCTTTTCAATGAGTGGAATATATAATTAATCAAATAAATAAATAAATAAATAAATAAATAAATAAATAAATAAATAAATAAATAAATAAATAAATACATAAATACATAAATACATAAATACATAAATACATAAATACAAATAATAAATAAATAAATAACAAATAAATAAATAAATAATAATAATAATAATAATAAAAAAAACCTTAACCGGTCCTTGAAAAAGTGTTTCTGCGTGAAACCGGTCCCTGGTACAAAAAAGGTTGGGGACCACTGCCATAACCCATCTCTTAGACAAATATAGACAAATGCATTAATTCTTCTTTGTACTCTTACACAAATTTCTTCAAGGCTATAATAAGCCTCTTTTGTTTAATAGCAATTAAACATTTTATAGAGCCAGTTTGGTTAAACTATCAGACTAGAAACTGGGAGGCTGTGAGTTCTAGTCCCATTTTGGGCATAAAGCCAGAGGGTGACCTTGGATCAATCACTTTTTCTCAGCCCTATGAAGGAGGAAGTGGTAAACTACTACTTGCCTAGAAAACCTCAGAGACTTGTTCAGAGAGTCTCCAAAAATCAGAACGGAAGAAAAAAAAATCTTACCTCTAACCCCACAGATATAAATAGAAGTCCCTCAGTAATAATGCAACATATAAATATAGATTCAGATCCGCACTCAAGACATTTAAAGTGAACAAAGGACATTGTCCCAATATACTGTAGCATGTTTGAGGATTTGCTATTTTACTTTGAAATCTTACCATAGAGGATTGCATGCCTAAATATTTTTTCCTTCTGAAAAAAGAAAGCTTTTAAGTGTCAGTGTCAATCTCATCTTCTCAACGCAAGAAAAAGAATAAAGGTTTTACTGAAAACATACAGGATGCACCTTCAATTTTTTTAAAAAAATTTAAGAATACAGGCTAAATGTGTGTGGAGATTCTCAGTCATCCGGAAGTGATGAAGCATCTTGGACGAGAAGCAAAACATTTTCCTCGAAGAAAACACAGCCCAGTTGCCTTTTGAAAAAGAACCTTTGAGTTAAAAATACAGGATTCCCCATCAATCCTGCATTTAATGTGGTTATCAGTTCCTACTGTTGATTTTAAAAGATGTTGAGTTTGAATGGGCTATTAGTCTCTCTTTTAAAAAAAATCAAACGTTTATACCTACAAGTTGAAGGTGTACAGAAGAGATAACAGAAGTTTTGTTATGCAAACAAAAGCATCTGCTTAGCACTGAATGTTGCCCATTAAATGATTGTCTAAAGGGCTGTTATTCCACGACTGGGTTTCTTTTTTGTATGTTTTGAAGCATTTGTGCAACAGTAAAAACAATTTGTTCAAGAAACATAAAACATCAAATGAGCAGACAAAATGAAACCATTAGAATCCTTTTCAGTAGAAAATGAAAAATAATGTGATCAACTCTAGGTGCAATTCATTCTGTTAAAGTATCAGTATTGTGACAGAAACAGGCTTGAAAATATATTGGGTTATAAGCACGAGCATAATAGGCTCATTAAGTTTTTTTTTTTTAAATGGCTTCCCTTAGTTTGTGTGATTTGTTCTCAACAGAGTTGCAGACACTGGAAAACTGAAGAGGTATCATGGTTGTGATTTATTTTGATATTTTAAGTAACCCAGTGTCTGAAATCAAGGGGGTTTCTCTATCAAACAAGACTTTAAGTTGTCACAGTAGATATAGTTTATAAGGGCTTATTGTTATTCTTGTGGCTAACTGCCTCACAACTGTAACCAGCACATTGTGTGATCACATTAATTTATGCATAGAATCCTTTGGGAAGCTGAAGATAAATGTGCGTTTGTGACTGAAAACTGAAGCCGTGCTTTGTTCATTTTTTCCCCCTTTCTTCATATTATGATATCACATTTTGCCTTCCATTCCCTTCAGTAATGCTGTGGATGGCATGAAAATAATGGAATGTTTAGAGTTGTCATAAGAGCACTAGACCAGCATTTTCTGACCTGATGAATTCCACATATATATTGTGAATGCAACTTCTTAAAAGCTCTGCGGAATCTGAGTTAAGGAAGACACACATGTTAATGAGGGAATTATAAATTAGACTGCTATTTTCATCTACAGATGATCATCTAGAACAGAGGTCTCCAACCTTGGCAACTTTAAGCCTGGCAGACTTCAACTTCCAGAATTCTGGGAGTTGAAGTCCACTTGGCTTAAAGTTGCCAAGGTTGGAGATCCCTGATCTAGAACAAGGCTGTCAAACTCGCGGTCTGTGGACCAGATGCATCATGGGCTGCCCATGCTCAGTTTAGCAAAGGGGGAAAAGGTCACAATGCATCATGTGACAACGCAGTGATGACGCAAGTTTGACACCCCTGATCTAGAATGACCAGTAGCCTGCTCCAAACTTAGGTGGACCTACTAAACTGCTACTTCTTTATGCTTTGTAAGAGTAGTTAGTAATTTGGAAAGCTGGTCTCTTCTGTGAGAACTTCTGTAGAAGAGAGCTGCGTTCATTCCATGATAAAAATAAAGTAGCAAAAAAAAAAAATCCATGGACTTAGTACACAAATCTAGAAGAAGTGTTCTGTTTTGAATTTGTAGGGAAGAGCTTAAAATAAACACATTTTAAAACTAACGCTCAAATTTTTCATCCCAATGAAATAGAGGGAATTTTAGTATGTAGGTCAAGAGGTGATGCTACAGGCTTCCTCTCTGAGGGAAGTCTAGTGTCCCTCTAAGGAAGTAATCTCATCTAGGGGAAAAAGAAGGTGATGTTTACCTTTTTATTTAAGTAAGTTTCTGTCGAAAAAATGCAGCACTATGTGAAATCATTCTTATTCCAAGGAAGCCTCAGAGTATTTTAATTCTGTTAATTTATTTCAGAAGACATTCTCATCAAGCTTTGCCTGAAAATATATGGCAGGGAATAATTCTTTGGATTTTGGAGATTTTCTAAATTAGTAAATTTATAAAGTACTTTAAAATAAAGCATTGATCTGTATGCTTAAGACTTTTTTCAGAGACAGTATGAGAAAGTATCCCAGTAACATAACACACAAAGAATATATACAAGAATACTAAGGAGCATATGTAACAAAGAATACTTAAAGAGTACTTTTATTCTTTATTGAAGAATGAAAGAAAGGCTTTAGGCCTTTCGGCCAGTCAGGAAACTCCACAAAGATAACAGTCAATGGTTCCAGTCCAAAGCTGACTAATACGCAACACATTCTTTTTTTGGTCTACACTGAAGTTTTCTCTTATGGAGGCTTCTGACTAGCTTCTGTAAGTTCCAAATCATAATTGTTTTCAGTGTCCTCATTCTATTTGAATTTGCCAAGGGCAAGGAAGACCAGTTTATCTTATCTTGTTCCCGGAATGGCCTGCCTTCTTCCTACCAAGAATAGAGCATTCCAAACTTAAGGAGTATTTATTTGTACCAGGTGGCAATGAGACCTTTTCAAATGTTTAGACTGAAGAGGAGAATTGTTAGCTTATTGTAGATGGATGTCCTAAACCAAGAGAAGCCAAAACAAAGTATATCTTTTTGGTGGGTAAAATAAATGCTTGCTTAGTTTTGTATTACATATTCATTACACAGAAATATAACATTTATTCATTTATTCATTAATCCAATGTACGTGGTTGCCCATCTCAGAAGAAGCTACTCTGGGTGGCATATAACAATCAATTAAAACAACAAATATATAAAAACAATTATTATAAAAATATAGAAAGCATTATTAAAATCAGAATATTATTAAAAATTTAAAATGTACAACCCACATGAGAAACTGAATATATAAACCAAAGTGAAGCCATCTAAGCATGTCATCAGTTTTGTAGCCCCTCTCCCTCAGGTCTGATGATGTAATTAAGTCCTGAGGGACTTCTGTAAGATTAACGGGGATGGTGCTAACCTGTCTTTGGGGGGTGGAAAATGTTCCATAACACGGGCATCATGATAGAGAAGGCCCGCCCCTTGGGACCCACCAAATGTAAATCCCTCACAGCTGGTACCCACAACATGTCTTCTCTGCTAGATCTAGTGGGATGTAATTGAGGCTGATGTAATTGGGGAGAAGTGGTCCCTCAGATAACCTGGTTCTATGCTATTAAACAGCTTGAATCTGACCTGGAAGCAGACTGGCAGCTAATGCAAGTCATGGAGCAGAGATGTCATATATCATCTTCTAGGACCACACTTAACTGTCCAGGCAGCTGCATTTTGCACTAGATGAATCTTCTAGATACTTTTCAGGGGAGGCCTTGTGTACATTACATTATAGCAGTCCAATTTGGAAGTGACTAGGACAATAATGACTGTGATCAGAGTCTCCAATCCAGGAAAGGGCACAACTGGCATACAACACAAAGCTGTGCAATGGCTCTCCCAGCCATGACTGTCACCTGATCATCGAGTAGGAGTCATAAGTCTAGAAGGACCCCCAGATTGTACACTGGGTCTTTGTAAGAGAGAAGTGAGAACCAGAGTAGTGCAGGGATTAAAACCCAGGTTCAAGTCTTCTCTTAGTCACTGTGATGACCCAGAGTATATCAGAAATATAACAAAACCCAAAACGTACCTAAAAGTGCTTTAATGCCTTCAACTTGGCTTCACTGTTTAATTGTTCACAGTGGAAGAGTAAACTATTTTCAAAATAACATTTCAAAGGAAAGAAGCACAGTTCAAATTCAAAGAGACGATAACGAAGCAAAAACCAAAAACAAACCTCATTGAATAAAGTTCCACGACAGACCAGGATAGATAATTGCCAACTTCAGGAAGATAACTAGGGACAGTCCGTTGGAAGAACGCCAACCAAGATAAACCTTCTTTAGGAATAAAACACTAAATTGTCTCCAGCGTCTGCTTGCACGCAGATCCAAACTCTTATGCAGATCTCACACCTGCAACCCATGAAGAGGATCATGGCCCTCTCCTCCCGAGTAGACCACATTTTACCCTGATCCTCTCCTCCCAAGTAGACCATGTTTTACCCTGATCTTCTCCTTCCTGCGTGTCCTAGGATGGATAGGGGATGGGCCTGGGTCCTCCTCTGACTGCTCAGAGTCAGTCTCCACCAGGGGCATGACAGTCACAGAAACTCTTAGTGTGGCCACTGCCTTCCTCTCACCCCAACCTACACCCTAGGTTGTTGCTATGGGAAATGTTGCAGGAGCGAGTGCTGTTTAAACTATCTTGACTTCCTGAGGGAAAAAGTGAGATATAAATCAAATAAATATTCCCAATACAGGAGTCCTTATGTCCTAATGCTGTTTATAATTGTCCAATTTAGTGATCTAAAATAGTAACAGATGAGGCTGCTTTTGGCTCATTGGTTCATGAATTTTGCACATGCTTGTTTGGATCAGATCTGGAATCTCAACTACACAAGCTGCTTCAAATTTCTTCCAATGGAAGGTGATACTACTTTTTAACAAAAGGTTGTTGTCCCCAGTATAAGGCAGCTGTTTCAGTTCAGGAGCTGACTAATCATTACTGATTGTTGGGTTTGGGTTTAAGGAGGAAAAATCATCCTGTAAGTGCACTGAGTAGGACAGTGCATTCTTGTTGGAGCTGCAGCTTCCTGTATCGTAAGGAAGAGGGAGACTAATGAGAGTTAGGTTTTTCAGGCAAAAGAAGGGACTGTTCCTGGATGGGGTACAGCTGCTGGGAGTACATCAGAGTTTTAAAATCTGAATTAGCTATACAGGTAGTCCTCAACTTAACAACAATTCAGTTAGTGACTACTCAAGGTTACAACAGCATTGAAAAAAGTGACTTATGTCTTATTGTCAGCATCCCCATGATCACGTGATAAAAATTCAGACACTTGGCAATGTATTTATGACAGTCACAGAGTCTTGGGATCATGTGATCACCATTTGTGATCTTCTGACAAGCAAAGTCAATAGGAAAGCCAGATTCACTTAACGACTGTGTTACTCAATGAGTGATTCACTTAACAATTGTGGCAAGAAACTATGGTCATAAAACGGGGCAAAGCTCACTTAACAAATGTCTCACTTAACAACAGAAATTTTGGGCTCAATTATGGACGTAAGTTGAGGACTTACCTGTACAATATTTATATATTGGTTCCCATTTTAGAAATGATTGTAAATTCTCAGGAAACATCGGGGCAGAGAGTTCTCTAAATTCCACGAAGAGGGAAATTGAGATACGTTCTCTGCCCCTGACTATAATAGCCAGGAAATCAAGACTGGGTCATTTGGTTGTCGTGGCTTAATAAGGACTAGAGAAATGTGGGTTTTGCAGGGTGGATTGAAACTGAGGGGTGCAAAGGATTTTCTGAGTCCCAGGAGTCTCTCCTTTCAGTTAATATGCATGTATTAGGTATACACTCCTAAATTCTGAATCAGCATTGATGTAACTATTTTATTTGAACTTTTAAAAATGCATACTTATGTAGAGCACACTCTGCCAATTTGGCCACAATTACAAAAGTAAGGATGTGAGATCTAGTGGTGGAGGCACCAGCTAGAAACAGAGAGATGTGAATTCTAGTCCCTCCTTAGGCATGAGAGCCAGCTTAGGCCAGTCACTTTCTTTCAGCCAACCCACCTCATAGGGATGTTGTTGAGGGGAAAATAGGAGGATTTCTGCCTTGATTATTTATTTGAAGGTGAGATATAAATAAAAGAATCTTATATTGTTTCTCGGACTTTTGTCTAAGATCAAGGGGAATGATTGGATCAGACAGCACTTTTACTTTGCCAGAAGCTTGAAATTCTGACTGAAACATTGGTCTCCAAGCAACTAATGTTAAATATACCACTAATTTGGAGCCTTGGTGACTAGAAGCCTTAAACTTTGGAATATTTAAGAACTAGTTAAAAACAGTATTGTTGAGTGGGAATAAAGTCAAAACTCAGTTAATGCAGTAGAATCTCTGGTCACGAATGCTTCTGACCATGACCAAATCGGGTTCCGACCAAAATATTCACAAAATTTTTGAATCTGGTCATGAGCACATACTTGGGTGGCGATCAAACACGACCCCTGACCCAGAAATTCCTGAATCCCTTACTTTTATATTTCACTGGCAACTCTTGAAAATGCATGGTTGCATTTCCTGCATTATAGAGCTGTGGTAGCGCAGTGGTTGGAGTGCAGTATTGCAGGTTAATTCTGCTGGCTGCTAGGAGTTTGATTCTGACTGGCTCAAGGTTCACTCAGCCTTCCATCCTTCTGAGGTCAGTAAAATGAGGATCCATATTGTTGGGGGGCAACATGCTGACTCTGTAAACCACTTAGAGAGGGCTTAAAGCACTGTGAAGCAGTGTATAAGTCTAAGTGCTATTGCTATATCCTTGTAGGAAAACTGACCTATTGTGCACAAAACTTTCCTTCCCGCAGATTTACATGAAGGTGCTTGCTTATGTATTATTTCTAGTAATAAGGGTTTCTCACAGAAACCAATGACTTCTTTCTCCTTTTCTTTGACAGACCATTTTTGCTGCTATCAACCAAGTCTTTCCCGCAGAGGAGGACAGTAAGAAGGATGTGGAGGATAATTGTAAGTGAGCCATGTAAACATTTAAGTGAGGTGGCAGGGGCTCTATTCAGATTGAGGTTGCCAAAACCCAGCTGCTTGCTTGAGCCAAGGCCCTTCGCAAATGAATGAGTGTTGCTAGGGGATGTCCCTCCACCCCACCAGAATGGAACCCCCGGGTGATTTGTTTGGCCTGTGTATTTAGAGGATGCCATTTGAAATATGCTGAGCCTGAATGAAGAATGCTACTGAAGAATGCTAGTGGCAGGAGCAGCATTATCAGATTAGCCTTAGCTATGACTAGTTGCAGTGGTTAAAGTGCAGTATAGCAGGCAAACTTTGCCCACAGCCAGGAGTTCAATCTTGACCCGCTCAAGGTTGACTCAGCCTTCCATCTTTTCGAGGGCTGTAAAATGAGGACCCAGATTGTTGGGGGCAATAGGCTGACTCTGTAAACCGCTTGGAGAGGGCTGTAAAGCACTGTGACGCGATATATAATTCTGAGTGCTATTGCTTTCAGCGATACCATTTGTTCTAATCCTGCCTTATGCACAAAGCCAGCTGAGTGATCTTGGGGAAGTCATTTTCTCTCAGCCTTAGTAAAGGAGGCAAGGGCAAACCACTTCTGGAAAAAAAAAAACTTGCTAGGAAAACCTCAGAGATTTGTTCAGGTGTCTTCAAGAATGAGAGACGATTGAACAGAAGGGGGAAAAAAAGATTCTGGAATGTTTTCTATATTCCTCTAGCCCCGCCCCACATCCTGAGCTTCTATCACACCTCCTCTAAATCTGCCCCACATTTCTTTTAGGAAAAGTGGCAGGATATATGGTACTTACAAAACTATTGTTGTGCTTTCATTGTAGGTTCACTAATGTATTTAAATGAAGCTACCCTCTTACATAATATAAGAGTTCGCTACAGCAAAGATAGAATTTATGTAAGTATCATCTCAGCTTGTGAAAAATATGGGTGGGTTGTTTTTTTTGTCACAAAGCAAAATATGAAATATATATTGTTTATTTGATCAATGACTAAGTGAAATTTTTTTAAAAAATACAACACTAAAGTAAAATCAAATAGATGAGATAAAATACTAACATACTGTAACAAAAAATAAAATTACATAAAATATGACATGCATCAATTACCTGTGCAAGTGTAAATCTAAAATATTACAGTCTCCAAAGTAAAATGTACTGTATATCATCTAAAAACAAAATGGCTAGTATGTGTTAAACCTAAAATGATAAATAAAACAGAAGTGATTATTTATATAACCAGTTATGCCTTATTTTCGGTGGCAACACAGAAATTGGCTACTGCACAAGTAATAAAAGATTGTGAACCTTCTAGAAGATGGTTCACATAGAAATTGTCTGGTCTTCCGGGAAATTTTCCTAGTAGAAGTAGAATATAAGCAGATCTGACATCCCTGTGGAATTTACAGTGCAAATACATGCAAAATGGCTTTGATCTCTTTGTCGCCTCCTGTGCAGGTAGGCTCAGTTAATGAGCTTCAGAGTATCTGCCTTGCAGCAGTGAGGATGGAAAGATGTTACACCTGCTTTGAAAAATCAGCTTGGGGAAAGTTAGATTTTGTAGATATCTTCCTGTTTCCCAAGTGCTCTTATCTGTGCAATTTCTGCCATGTTAGGTCCGCCTATTAACTTCAGTCTGAAACTCCATATCCTCTTTATTCTTCGGCTGAGCAGTTGTTTGGCGTGGTCATTTCCTAAAGAAATTAGGCATGGTGCAGAAAGCCCATATAATACCCAATCCTGCTCTACAGCCTGTTTCCAGAGAGAAGGAAAATCATCTTATTAAAATTAGTGTCAGTTCAACTGGAAGATTTGGATTTTCAGCCAGTAATGTATCCTCTTCTCTCAAGCCCTTATCTGGTTGCAGGTATTCCTGTCTTAAGTCTTAACTGGGCGTTTGCTATCCTTGGGTGCAATTCAAAAATGTTGTGTGCACTGTTTCCAGTCTTTGCATAAATTTCTACTTCTGTTCCATTAAGAATTTGGGCCAGTGATTTGGTCTCAAGTGTTTTAATTCTGCGGGGATTAATTGTCCGCTACCAAGTGTAAAAGAAGTGCTTAATTGCCCTTTTAGACCTAAATTAGCTTCATTACGTGATTCTGGTATATGTTTCAAGTGCCTTTAGAGTGGAAAACCACTCCAAGGTGTTTCAGTACAGTATTTCAGTACCATAACATGCTCTGATTTCTGCCCTTCTACTCTCCAGGCTGGCTCTCTTAGCAAAGACCAGCATTTTAGATTTTTCAAAACTGGGAACCAGGTGATCTGCAGTACCAAAATATTACTATTAATGCTCTTTCCAGCCTTGTGGGGATTTGTGAAATTATAGTGGCATCATCAGTGTAGGGAAGTATAGGATTATTAAGAAGGTCTACCATTGAATTGATATACAATTTGAAAAAAGAGGGGAAAAGAATATGTCCCTGTTGGAGTCCTTTCTGAACTACTGTGCTAGAGAAGGGACCCTTGTATTTCATTCTTAAAATAGTGTTGGAGTATAATTTCTGTATCAGAAAGAGATGGTACCTGTCAACAGTCTCCCCCCACCCCTCCAAAGGCTATTCCTGGAAGTTGTGTCAAAGGCATGTTTTAAATCTAGAAAGGCCTCAAAGAGGGAGGGTATTTTGGTATATCTTTGTGCAAGATGGTAGAGAACCAGAATCTGGTCTGTTGTTGACCTCCCTTCTCTGAATCCTGGCTGCTCATCTTGGATTATGCCCCATGCCTCTATCCAGTCTTGCAATTTGTGATTAACTGCTTAGCATATAATTTGCTAACTGCACTCAGAAGGCCAATAGGCCGGTATAATTGCATGACTCATTCTTATTGCTCTTATTATAAATTGGGCCAATATTTTCCAGACCCCAATGTTTTGGAACATAATTTGTTTTATCTATGATTATAATCACAGTTGCTAATCTATGAATGTAAACACAGAGGCTGGCGGAGGCACCCACCAGCTGGTAATCTGGTTTTATTATGGAATTATTACAGTCAGAACATAATAAACACCTGGAGCCTTATGTTCTTAAGGGATGAGTTGAGCGTTACCTCTTGTACAGAGCTGTGGGTGGGTGGGTGGCAATTGTCAGGTCTCGTTTATATTACCAACAAGGATCATGTACCACCTTCTGAAATATTCCACCCAAGCTTGAAATGGCACTTAATTGACTGGGGAGATGGGGTGATCGGCTACTGGTTTTCCTAGTCCTCGAATAGTTTGCCAGAAGAGGGAAGAGTCTTTTTTCCTGACTGATTGAATTGGTTTACGCCAGGTCTCCTTTGTTGCCAGTATTTTCTTATAGGATGGCCAATAGATTAACTAGACTAATCTATCAAGCCTTTAAATTACTCTTTCTGTACTATACCATAGGCTTTATCACATGGCCTTTTCAACTGGGCACAATCCTGATACCAAACCATTTTTATGTGCTACATCCAGTTACTGTTTGTTTCTTTGACAAAAGCAGATTTCACATTAAAAATTAATAGACCATACAAGTATGGTTTTTGAGACATGTTGTCTAGCTGCTATGCACAGGATTTCTAAAATTTCTGAGCCTGCTAGCCATTTAGCAACTGATTTTGCGTAACTTTCATTCCATCCATTGTCACAAAGCAATTTGAGGAGAAATTTAGTTCGAACCTTCATTTTGTGAATGGAAATAATTCATTAAAAAAAACTCTGTCATTGCTCAATTGATTAAGAAGCAGGAAAGCTGTATAACCACAAAACTAATTTTCCAATCTAGCGTTCTGTTTTTATTGAATACACCTACTCAAATTATCCATTATGCACATAATGCATAACTCATCCTTACAGGCAATTCTTTTAGAGCTGACAATACATTAAAAAGCAAAAGATGCATGCTTGCCTTCCTCTCTGTCAAATGAAGAACCCCATATCACCCCTGACACTTCCCCGCTCAAACAGATTAATATTTTATGGGGCTATTAGATTGCCTGATCATATGTAACAAATTCAATCTAAATTGCACATGGTCCCTGCCATCTGCTTTGACAAATGCCAGCTGGGAAGTAGAAGGATGAAACTTCTAAAAGAAATGCCAGAAGCAGGGATACAACAGTCAACGTTATCTATTTATTTTCCTAATCCTATTTCTTAAATGCTGATGTACCATTATGTTTGCTTAGGCCCATTACTCTGGGTTCTTTTTCATTGTTGTTGTTGTTTTTTTAAAGAAAAACAAGTCATTGTATAATATGTGTAATTTTGTGTTGATCATAATTTTAAGTTATACGCAATCACAGTTCATCCTTCAAAAATGAAGCTAAAATGCTTTGTGTGAAAATAATTTGCTAATTTATAATTGATTTACCTGTATTACACTTAACTATAAGCCATGTACTACATAAAAATCACAACAACTAGTACTGATAATGATTTATTTTAAAGGGTTTACAAAACATATCCTTATGTATTCAGTGGCTTTTTACACTGTAATTTATCAGCACAAGAAATTTATCAGCACAAGAAATGATGCTGTTTAAAATCATTAAACCAGTATTACAATAATAAAATAAAAACTGCGATTTGGTTCTGACTTCAAAAAATTTACCTTAGAAATGTGTTGAACATTCCCTCAGAAGAATGCCCCACACCCTTTGGTAATAGGCCTTCAAAGTTTACAAACAGAAATTCCAAATCCATGTGATTATAACACATTTTGTTGCGGGTTTTCTTTCCAGACTTATGTAGCCAACATCCTGATAGCCGTGAATCCTTACTTTGATATACCAAAACTTTACTCATTAGATGTTATTAAAAAGTATCAAGGCAAGTCACTAGGGACGCTGCCACCTCACGTCTATGCAATTGGTAAGAAACAGATTTCTCTGGCTTCCAATGTATCAATGCTTTTATTTTCTGTAGCTTTTATTTTGTCTTAAGATGCTTTTTCTCTTGATTTTTACACTGATAAAAATAAGGCAAGGTGCTGGAACTGTTGCAGTTGATCTGCATGATCATGAACCAATTGGTTGCTTGGATTACAGTTTGCTTATGTACTGAATTTTGGTTGCTTTTAGGAGAGTAAGGTGTCCCTGTAGGTTTTTATCAGTTGTGACCAACTTTAGGGAGGCGGTTGTCATCTCTGTTTCTTGAACCAGTGCTGTCTACAGATGCTTTTTGCAGTCTTGTGGCCAGCATGACATCACACTGCGACAACACAGAGTATTGTTACCTTCCCACATGCTTATATGTGGTACATATTCATGTACTTCCATTTACATGCTTTCAAGCTGCTAGATTGGCAGGAACTGGGACATGTGACAGGAGTTCACTCCATCTTGGTGCACTAGGGTCTTGAACTGCCGAGCTATAGACCTTTAAAATGGTTTAAGGAGAGTGATCCTAATGATCTTAAGGAGAGTGCTGTGGTAACACTGAACAGGTAGTTTTGACTTCGGACCACAATTGAGCCCCGAATTTTTGTTGCTAAGCAAGGCAGTTATTAAGTGAGTTTTGTCCCATTTTACCACCATTCTTGCCATAGTTCTTAGTAAAGAATCTGGCTTCCCTGTTGACTTTGCTCATTAGAAAGTTACAAAAGATGATTGCATGACCCTGGGACTCTGCAACCATCAAAAATATGAGCCAGTTGCCAAACGTCCAAATTGATCATGGAGACCTACAATGGTCATAAGTGTAAAAAACGGTCATGACTTTGAATGGTCACTAAACGAATGATTGTTAAGTTGAGGACTACCTACGTAGTATCAGCATTTTACGCAAATCTTTTGTGGCACTTTTTCTTTTCATTCAAGAAATATAGGTAGCTGCATACTGAAAAAAGAAAATATATTTATTTTTGTGTTTCAAATGTTTACAATAAAATATTACAGTGCTTCCTAAAGTAATGAAAATATTGATCTCTGTTCTGTTGGAAAGTCACTTTGTTGTCCTCTTCAATATTTACCTCAGCTGACAAAGCCTTCCGCGACATGAAAGTGCTCAAGATGAGTCAGTCAATCATCGTGTCGGGTGAATCAGGAGCTGGCAAGACAGAAAATACTAAATTTGTTTTACGGTTTGTATCTTTAGCTGAAAGTGTTTCAGTGGAATGAGTGCCAAACCAAAGTGAATTCATTAACCCAAACACCTTGAATTCATAAGGGACGTACTTCCGATACTGAAAACAATTGTGAGTGAAACGTGAACAAATTTTAAATCTAACAAAGTCCCATAACAGAGTTTACGAATGCTCGTTCGTTTGTTTCAAGAATTTATGTGGCTGTACAACTCAACCAGTGTGATTGTGCAAAGATTAATGAACACTAAACAAGGAATAAAACCAACCATCCATCCATTAAAAGATAACTCAGCTAGCAATAGCATTTAGATTTATATACAGTGCTTTACAGCTCTCTCTAAGCAGTTTTACAGAGTCAGCATATTGCCCCCAACTATCTGGGTCCTCATTTTACTGAGCTCAGAAGGTCAGTCAACCTTAAGCTGATAAGAATTGAACTGCCAAACTTCTGGCAGCTGGCCATCAGCAGAAATAGCTTGCAGTACTGCATTCTAACCACAGCGCCACCACAGCTCTTAATGTGACTTTAATCAGTGGTAAATTGAATGGAACAGGCAAAAACCATCCAACAGGAATCACTAGTCACCTTAGCCCTAAGAAAACAGCCATATCTTGATCATCTTTCTAAAGACTAGCAGACCTTTTATAGACATATTTTGTTTCCAGACTTTTTCAAGGCTTTTAACCAATTTTTTAAAAAAATTCAAAAGCTACACTGCCCTATTAATTTCTTTCACTTTTATTACACTTAAAATAACACTTGGATCGGAACACAGAACATTTTGGAGAAGAGTAAGGATCTCAGAACAATCCACAGTAGGCATATCCCAAAAGCAACACTGTCTCCTGCCTATAAAAGGACAAACAAAATAATAATTTCCTCAGTTTCTCAGTGGACAGGAAGCTAATGGAACTTTGGTTAAGCCAGTTTAGTGGTTAAGGAGCCAGGTTAGGAAGCAAGAAACCTCGAATTCAAGTCCTGCCTTAGCCATAAAAGCCAGCTAGGGGATCTTGGGCTAGTTAGTCTTACCACTCAGCCTAACTCACCTCACAGGGTTGTTGTGGAGAAAATAGGAAGAGGAAATATGCTGAATATGTTCATCACCTTGAGTTATTTGTAAAAATAATAAGGTGGGATACAAATACATTTGTATACAGCTCATTTAATTAGAAGAGATCTTATGTTGTATGATTAAAGTAAAGACACTAACAAAAATTGCTAAATGTTTTTTTTTTCTTTATAGGTATTTGACTGAATCTTATGGTAGTGGACAAGATATTGATGACAGGATTGTAGAAGGTATTCATATTTACCTTTAAATTTATTTTTGTATATTAATTGTGGCTAGATAAGGAGTAAGCATAATGTTTGCTACATTTCTGTAAGTGAAAGGCTGCAGTGTATGACATCTCTCATCTTATTGGGCTCTGAAAAAAGTATGTGGGCTGTGGGTTGCATCTAGCTAGAAAAGCAAGATACACGGTTTTGATGCTATAAAATATCAGTGCAGGATTGCTTCTGTTATCAGTTTGAACATAGAGAGTTCAAAAGGTAGAAACAAGGAATCTGTTGAAGAAGAGAGGTGTAAATGTAACTTTTCTTGAAGATTAGAATTGCTATTGCATTTTGGGCGAAACGGGGTGTGGTGGGGAGTGGATTTAATATTCCTTTTCTTTTCTTTCCTTTTCCTTTTCTTTTCTTTTCCTTTTAAAAAGGTACCATTTTTCTGAGCTTCCTGTTTCCCTGAATGGCAGGAAATCACACTATTGGTTTTTTTTCTTTTTTATGATTGTATTGGAGCAGGCTCCAGGGACCAAGAAAAGAGTTTGGGAATCTGAGATTACCCATCCCTGAAATCTTTTTTTCTAGTTGCATCAGAAAACAGAGGCTTGAAAATAAGGCCAGCACAAGGATAACATGTTTTTGGGCAATTGTATGTATGCAAGCACTGTTGAAAGATTTTTGCCAGCACATCTTGCAAGGTGGTCCCAGTTTTCTTGGGGAATGAGAAACGTGGTGAATGAGGCAACCACTGGAGACATCTAGAAAGCTTTTGTGTCAAGTCTTTGGCACGAGTATGTGGAGACAGAAGCTTTTTTCTGAACTTAAAGGCACATTTTCTACCCAATTCTCTTAGAAATCTTTTCTGTGTGTCTAATATATTTGCGGATGAGTGGAGGACTATTGTGTTGATCCTATCTGTTCCCTTAATGTCTTCGTAAGAATTGTTCACATGTGATCAGTTTCTAATACAAGAAACATAGTGCTGTTTGCCATTTCTTTGAAGAAGTTATTTGAAATGGGACTTAGTTCAGAAAGCACTGATCTTAATAGCTTACTATGGGATCAGACGCAGGATGTTAATAATAGCTTATTGCAGTATCAAGACCTTAAAAAAGGGAAGCAATATAATAAAGGAAGAAAGAATTCCATTACTTTTTCCTTCCCTTATGGCACTACAATTCTTTACTTTGGGACAAAAGTAAATATATTCTTTCCGAAGTGTTCAGCTAAGCTACTGTACTGGAGGTTACAGGTGAACGGATGGTCTGTGTATGGGTTCACATACATGAGTTTTGTGTGTGTGTGTGTTCAGATGAATGAGTGGAGCGTTCACGTGTATGCTTGTTGGAAAAATGCAAAGTCTACGATATGTTTCCTTGCCCAGTGGCAAGATGCTTTGAGGCTACCAAGGACTAGCATAGCCTGAGCAGTCCTGCCTTTGATGGACTTCATAGCCAAGGTTTACTGCCAAGCAATGCTTCCAGCGAAATAATTGAGAATGATATTGCTTAATTACAGCGGAATATATAAGTATTCCATTATCCATGGCACCTATGAAAGTGGCTGACCATTGGGCATAATGTCTGAAGCTGCATTCCCAACACTGGTACCCGTAGGTATTTCATTTGGGAGATGGGGAAGCTTGAATCAAATGCCTTATTCAGGTCATCTGCTCTTAATACACATTTGCTCCCATTTTTGGTTTAAGCACATCTTAACCTGCATGGATGCATTGTTACTACAGAAGGACTTACTCACCAAGCCTTTTTGTAGTGCGTGTGTATATGTGTTTGTACCTGTAACCATTGAATCTTTGTGTTGCAGTTCTGTGCATTTTCCTGACAGGTTGGATAGTTTGAAAGGTCACTTGCCAATTCAAATTGCTTTAACTGTTATAGACAATCAACACACACACACACTCACACACACACACACACACCCATCCCAGGATTCTGTATTTATCTTTATGATATACAAATTCAGCAATAGTTTTTTTAACCTTACTTTTACCTCCTTAATAGCCAATTCCTTTTCTAATACTATGTCAGTTACATAATACTATATATCTTCCCCCTCAAGGTCCCATGCACCTTGGGACTAAATGAATATTAGATTGGTTTTGAGTTGAAAATCAAGCATTATGTGATGACTCGGAGTATATCACAAATATAACAAAAACCAAAACAAAAATAAAGGTCCTTTAATGCCTTCAACTTGGCTTCACTGTTCAATTGTTCACAGTTGGAAATTTTCAAAATAACATTCCAAATGAAAGAAATACAGTTCAAAATCAAAGAGCAGATAACAAAGCAAAAACCAAAAACAAACCACACTGAAGAAAGTTCCACGACAGACCAGGATAATTAATTACAAACTTCAAGAAGATAACCAGGTACAGTCCATTGGAAGAACACCAACCAAGATAAACCTCATCCAGGAAAAACCATTCTTTGTCTTCAGCGTTTGCCAGAAAGCAGGTCCAAACTCTTATGCAGATCTCACACCTGCAACCCATGAAGAGGATCATGACCCTCTCCTCCCGAGTAGACCACATTTTCCCCTGATCCTCTCCTCCCTGCGTACCCTAGAATGGATAGGGGATGGGCCTGGGTCCTCCTCTGACTGCTCAGCCGGCCTCTGCCCTTCCCCAGCCTCCTCCACAACCTCTGAAGCCACACTTCCACTCCCTGTTGGCTGTTCCTCCTCTCCTTCAGAGTAAGTCTCCACCAGGGGCAAGACACATTACATATAAAGTTAGTCCTCTATTCCCAACTGAAAAATTTGAGAATGGCAAAATTGTTTAATCAAGAGGGTAAATAGATAGCTAAATAGATTTCTACTGCCACCATGACAAAATATAGCTCGCCCTCAACATATAACCATTTTTTTAGTGACTGTTCAAAGTTACGATGGCACTGAAAGAAGTGACTTATGATCAGTCCTTGTATTTATGCTTATTACAAGCATCCCATGGTCAAGCAATCCAAAACTGGGTACTTGGCAACCAGCATGTATCTACGATGGTTGCAGCTTTCCTGGAATCACGTGATCGCCATTTCCAACCTTTCCAGCCGGCTTCTGACAAGTAAAGTCAATGGGGGAAACTGGATTTGATTAATGATCACATGCTTCGCTTAACAACTGCAGTGATTTGCTTAAGAACCACGGCAAAAAGAGATTGTAAAATCGGGTCCCTTATCAACTTCCTTGCTTAGCAATGGAATTCCAGTCCCCGTTGTAATCATAAGTTGAAGACTATCTATATAAGTGTTTCTTCAGTCTGCTTAATTGATGCCTGATAGAGGCAGTTTTGATGGCAGATGTGGAATGGCAACGAACAGTCTATGATAGGTTAGTATGATGATATAGCTCATGTCAGCCTTCTCCAGCCTGCCATCTCCAATTGCCTAGGGTCTCCAGAATTCCCAGGTATTTAGTGAGGAGTGCTGGCTGGGAATTATGGGAGTTATAACCACAAAGATTGGTTTCATTATACATTTGTTTACATACACTCTGTAGAAGTCTTCTTCCAATACAAATGACAATGTTTTTAAGCTTATTAATGTTTATTTTAGTAGCTCACTTGCAAGCACACTTGCTTTCTTGTCTTCTGCTGCTAAGTAATGTGGAGACCAAGCTGAATTAGCATAGTCTGGATAGGATCCAGACAATTGCTGGTTCTAAGGCCATTTGCTCTTTCTATGTCTTATGGCTGCAGCACCAAAGGTTCACAACTATCTTCTTCTCCAGCACCCTGCAATTTCCTTGGTCTAAGGGGTCACAGGACCAATAGCTAATTTAGTATCATCTTCTGCTTTCCAGAACAGGGAAATGTATGTGCTTTGCGATTTGTCTCTGGTTGCATTGGCAGATTATTACATGTGGATTATTTTGTTATTGTTGTTTACTTCATGTTTGGGCATCCCCAATATGCATGTTCTCTGGTCTAATGCCAAACTCTTAACCACCCTTTTCTTGAATTTTTGCTTGAACTGTACATTGAATCAAGTAGGGTTGGTTTATTGCATGCACACATGCTGATGGGATATGTATTATGAGATAATTCAGGATTATTTTATTAACATGGGACTATTTAATGTCCTTCCAAACACTTCAGTTTGATTTAACATTAGTATTATTCAAAAATATTTAGTGAAGTAAAATATTAATAGCTGTTATGATATGTTAGTGAAATATTTTAACAGTTGTTAATATTAGGATAGAGCAAAAGGTAATATTTAAGTGGAAGAATTTCTAGGAAGATTATACGGTGATTGGGATCCAAATTGCTGCATTGGGTGCCCTTACCTAGTAGGAACAGAGAGTCTTCTTCCCTTTAAGATTTGAGGCTTTAATTGTCTGATACTCAATGCTAACTAACTTTAGCTCATCCCCAAAAGCTAAGCAGGGCCAGGTACTTCTATACAGTACCTGTATGGAAGAACAGCAGGGAGAACAGCAAGAGCTATAGGTTAGATTGTGAAATAAAAACAGAATCTCGGAGAAGGTAATAATAAACCCTTCTTGTATTTTAATGAAGAAAACAATACATGATAGGCATTTCCATGAGGTCACCTAGAATAGAGTTAATCTGAAGGAAGTTTTATCTTTAAATGTTGAGATAAGCTTTTGTTCCTTCACACATGCAACGGAAGTAGTTGTATGAGCCTTTGGTTCATGAGATGGTTTTTCTCATATTAAGAAAAATATAATGCTAGTCAACTTCTGTGTGCATTTTTATTAACACCCATTATTTCAGACAGTATAGAAAGATCTTCCAACTCTCCGGTCCAGTTTTTCAGTAGGTAGAGAGGCTTAGGGTTATAGAGTCATGCCTTCATTTCTCTGTTTTGGATATTAAAAAACATGCTTTTATCCAAGTTTTGTTTATTAAAATTTTGCTAATCTTGTTTCATTTTTTTATAGCCAATCCACTGCTAGAAGCATTTGGAAATGCAAAGACTGTTCGTAACAATAATAGTAGTCGTTTTGGAAAATTTGTAGAAATCCATTTCAATGAAAAGGTATTTATATTTCTTTGTCTATGGTGGAATTTCTTTTCTTCTTCTTTTGATAAGTCCCACCTGTATGGATCATTTGCTCAGGACACGTTTATGTAAGCAGAATAAACAGAATACATAGAATAACAGACTTGGAAGGGACCTTGGAGGTCTTCTAGTCCAACCCCCTGCTCAGGCAGGAGACCCTGTACCATTTCAGACAGATGGTTGTCCAATTTCTTCTTAAAAGCCTCCAGTGTTGGAGCATCCGGAGGAGCTGTGGTGGCGCAGTGGTTAGAATGCAGTACTGCAGGCTACTTCTGCTGACTGCCTACAATTTGGCAGATCGATTCTCACCAGGCTCAAGGTTGACTCAGGCTTCCATCCTTCCAATGTGGGTAAAAGGAAAACCCAAACTGTTGGGGGCAATAGGCTGACTGTAAACCACTTAGAGAGGGCTGTTAAGTACTGTGAAACAGTATATAAATCTAAGTGCTATTGCTATTGCTATCCACAGTTTCTGGGGGCAAGTCGTTCCACTGATCAATTGTTCTAACTTTCAGGAAATTTCTCCTTAGTTTTAGGTTGCTTCTCTCCTTGATTAGTTTCCATCCATTGCTTCTTGTCCTGCCATCAGGTGCTTTGGAAAATAGGTTGACTCCTTCTTTGTGGAAGCCCCTCAAATATTGGAACACTGCTATCATATCACCCTTAGTCATTCTTTTCATTAAACTAGACATGTAGCGTATAATAGTCCATTTTGGATTACAATATGTTGCTTGTTATTTAAAAATTCTTCTAAGTTTAGTTTAAGAATTCAGAGGTTCCTAATCTAAAGACAAAATTAGTTTTATAATATGAATTGCATATCATCATCTTCATCTCCAGTCCCATATCTTCTAACTACAACTTGACCTTAAATCTGAGCTAGCATTAAAATTTTGGTTGCCAATGGGAAAAATCGAGAAAAGTCAGAAAAAAATCTGAATTATATACCATATACCTATTTTTTTTGATAAGTTAAATATAAGTTAGCATAAAGCATCCTTGTTCAATTTGGTGTCCTCTAGATATGTTGGTCTATGCCACCCAGTAGTTTCTGCCAGCCTGGGACTTTGACCATGCTGGCAGGAAATTGTAGTAACTGTCTAGCCATAAAAATAAGCTCGTGCTAAGCGATTAACCAAATTGCAGTTCTGGTCAAATGAATTTAACATTAAACTATTTAAACATTTCATTTACTTGTAAACGTATTCAAGAAATTATATGGATTAGAAAGTACATATAACGTGATTGAAGAATCAAGGGTTTATGCTTTGGAATCAAAAATTTGCTTCTTTTTTTTACCCTAGAATTCAGTTGTTGGTGGATTTGTGTCACATTATCTCCTGGAGAAATCCAGGATTTGTGTTCAAGGCCCAGAAGAAAGGAATTACCACATATTCTATCGGCTCTGTGCTGGAGCCCCTGAAAATATAAGGGAGAAATTGTATTTAAGTTCACCAGATAACTTTAGGGTAAGTTGATCTAAAGTATTACCATACTGAAAATTCATTTTAACCTACTTATAGCAAACTGGATTCAGATACACTTAGAGCAGGTCTATTCAAATCAATGTGACTAATGGGTTGGAAAAGACATTATATTGTAAATTTGGATCTATGAACCTGTTGTGCTGAAGCTTGATTTTGAACCAAACTTGACTGAATCACTTTGTCATATACCGGTAGTCTGTGGCTAATCACAGTTCATTTATAACCATTCAAAGTTACAATGGTACTGAAAAAAGGGACTTACAACCATTTTTCACACTTACAACTGTTGCAGCATCCTCATGATCACGTGATTTACAATTGGATGCTTGACAACTGGTTCATATTTCTGATGGTTGCAATGTCCTGGGGTTATGTGATTCCCTTTTGCAGCTTTCTGACAAGCAAAGCCAATGGAGAAAGCCAGATTCACTTAACAACGATGTTACTAACGTAATAACTGCAGTGATTCGCTTAACAATTGTGGCAAGAAAAGTCATAAAAATGGGGCAAAACTCACTTAAATAACTGTCTCGCTTAGCAACAGAAAGTTTGGGCTCAATTTATGGTCATAAGTTGAAAACCATCTGTACTGTATACGTATTCTTCTGTGCCAAGAGCAATCAACTTGAATGTCTCTAGAGCTTCTGAACTTCAGCAGCCCAATTTTGTGACTTTTGACTATGCTGCTTCAATCCTATGTAATTGTGTTCTCAAACATCTGAAAGGCACCATATCATATATTTCTGTCTTATATTCTGGAATAGATATGTAAGGCGGTAACTTTGGATTGTATTAGACATGTTAGAATATTATAATAAACTGATTTATCACAAATTGCACATTCCTGCTGCTTTTGATATATTGCCACAAATATTATTTAAGACTTCAGCTTTTGTTCACATTTTTGCAGTGTTGCCTGGCAACATGGTTTATTTTAACCAGACTTTATTACAATTTGCCAACTTCACACTACTTCTTTGTTTTTACATATCATGATTATGATTGATCAGTGATCAGGATTCTTATTCTGAGTTAATATGAAATTCTGGTTAACTTGAAACAAATTATCTAGTCTCCTTGGGATTGCTCAGAGAAGTGACTCTGAAAAATACTGGCTTTGCTTCTCTCTCATTGAAAAACACCTCACTGTGGCATTAAATGCTACTTTTCACAATAGTAGGTGTTTGAATCTGAGTTTGAGTGCCTAGAACAGTGTTTCTGAACCTTAGCAATAGACTCGAGAAAAAGAAATCAAGGGGCAGTTCTGGTACTAGACCCTGATATTGAACATCGCTTGCTGAAGTTTTGATTGACTGGTGAATTCTTTTGTCTTACAACAGTATTTAAATCGTGGGTGCACTCGCTACTTTGCTACTAAAGAAACTGATAAGCAGATTTTACAGAATCGCAAAAGTCCTGAGGTAAGATACCTATTTCAAATGTTTCTTTCCTACATTAAACTATGGAACGTCATCAGGGCAGTTGTTAGTAATATAATGCATCTACCTAAAATCTGATTTATGCAACTTTTTTTCAAGTGCTAATGGCTCAGCGCTGCAACAGGAGTAACTGTCAAAACTGTCACTCACAGTCTGTTCATAGGGTGGATTTGTACAGGTATCCACTGCCGTGGTCAAAGGATCTGTAATCAGTTTCTTTTCTTAACAATTCAAACTTGATGAATATTTGGCTGGATTGATTTATGGGATTTTGTCCATGTGTGGAAATTGTAGCCAAATTGGCATCTGTGTTCTTTAAAAAAAAAACAGGTCATAATTAAAAATCCCATTGAATTTTTACTTCATGGCACAGTGACATATAGACCAAATGGAAAATGTTTTGCTTGTGACTTGAAACAAAACATTGTAGTCCAGAGGTTCTGCTGAACTGTTTGAAGTCAGCCTTGCTCTGGAAGAAATAAGGACATATGAGATGTTTTGATTTTCAGATGAAACAAAATATGGAGAGCTCACAGGGCAATTAAGGCGAAGCTGCTCTTCCCATATCTTGCCTTCCATCTTTCCCTCCACTCAGGGCTCAGAGTGGAATATCGCAGCCCCCCTCCGCTCATGGATGCTGAGGAATTTTTGCCTGTTCTCTTGCCAAAGAAGCATCTCAGTGTTAACTTTTACCCATTCTTCCCCACTTCCCCTTCCCAGTTTGAATACGTGTGCCCAGAATGATTGAGGGTTTTTTTTAGTTTGTAGAAACTAAAACAGAACAATTCAACTCATAGACCAAAATGTCTGAAACACACATTTCAGTTCAACTAGGGATTGTCTCCAGATAGCTATTGTTTTCTTTCTTTCTTTCTTTCTTTCTTTCTTTCTTTCTTTCTTTCTTTCTTTCTTTCTTTCTTTCTTTCTTTCTTTCTTTCTTTCTTTCTTTCTTTCTTTCTTTCTTTCCTTCCTTCCTTCCTTCCTTCCTTCCTTCCTTCCTTCCTTCCTTCCTTCCTTCCTTCCTTCCTTCTTTCTTCTGTTTCTCTCCCCCTCCCTCCCTCTCTCTCTCTCTCTCTCACACACACAAAGAACAAACAAAGCAAATTTTACAGAAATTTTTGTTATTAAATTCCTGCTGTCCCCATTCATAGCGGTTTTGATCTGAATTGGTTCATGCTTAGTAAAACAAGGAAAATAAAGAAAAAACTAATATGTCTTAGAGATTTAAAATTATCAGGTACCTGATAATATCTATTCAAATTCTACATCAATCAAATACCTTTTTGCAAATGTCTGCTTCCTGCCTTAGTCGTAATGATAGTAAAGCAATAGCTCTTAATACCATATAACTAAGAGTTTATTTGAACAAGCATTTTGTAATCAAGATGGTCAAATTAACATCAATTATGGGTGCAGCAGGGCAGGTAGAACCAATGAAAAGGATCTTGACTGAATTTTTACATACTGTTGTCTGCAAAGGAGAATATATATAATGTGGGTTTGTCATCTGAAAAGCTAAGCCAACCTCAGCTTGGTGATTGAAAGATGCATCTTTTATATAACTAATTTGGTCCCTAAGCGAAAGGAACACCTGCTTGGCAATAAAAGAGCCTCAAGTGAGTCTCTCAGTTTGATACAATTGTGCCAACTGAACACAATATCTGTTTGGTAGATACTGTAGATATCCAGAATTTTTGAGCTTTCTTTTTCCCATTCTTCTCCCTCTTTATATCTCAAGAGGATTGGGATGGCATTGGAATTGGGGAAGGGGGCAGTTCTAGGTAGTATTATAGAGGTGAAGAGAATAATTACAATTGATTTCAGTAATGTCAGCTGTCCTAACCTTACTATTATTAATCTGAGAGAATTGTCTTTCCTCTTTGTATCATGTTTAATTATAGTAATAAAAATAGTCAATTAATGTTTGCATTGTTTTTGTCCTTTCCTGTCAGGAAGATGAGGTGATCACTTTGTATAATCTGGGATTTTAATTATGGTGTGGTGTGAATTTAGTAGATGCACGTTAGTCCCCCCCCCCCCCCCCCCTCATATTCTTAGAACAGTTTTGTTTGGGATTTCACCGGCTTTTCTGCATATTCTTTAAGATGAACAATTATTTTGAGCATGCTCTCTCTCTGCATGTATTAGTTTGATTTTTAGTTAGAATCTTTAGTGCCTTGAGTTGATAATAATGTGTTCTGTTTGAAATTAAATAGATAAATAATCAAAACTTTGGTATGTTTATAAAATATAAACTTTGGTAAAGCAATGCCATCATGCTGAAATGAATGCTTGGTTCTGTTTCCAAGGATCATTATTTACTGTAACCTTTCAAATGTTGTGATCTTATATTTCATTCATGGTGTCCATTCCTGGCCTCAAGTAAAGAGTTTTCCCTCCAGAATGATGCTTTAATGGAGCCAGAGCATCAAAAACCCACCACTCAATTTATATGCGAACTTTCCTGGTAGGAAAAGTACATTTTTCTGTCAGTCAGTGGAAGAGTTGAGCTAGATGAAGCTTACTATGTTCCAATCAAATGCACTATTTTCATTTATTGTGTGAGTAACAATTGTTCGGAGCACTTTATCTACAGGCTTTGGGAATTATACCTTGCATCAGTGACCTAAAGCACTTGGACTGAGGATATTACACATGCAAACAGATTCAGTAGTATTTTTATGAAAGTGAGCCAAAGTAAATAAAAGAGGATATGAAGAATTTTAAATTCTGCTTAAAATCTCAGGATTTTTAGACAAGATGGGGAATCTTATCCAGAAAGAACAACAGCAGCAACAACAACAAAAAAAACAAAACAGAGAGATCTGGGGTGAATTTGCAGCTCTCCACTCATTTTGATTTTGCATTACCTCATGTTCCTGCCTGCGTGTAACAGTACAGTAGATTCTTCCTTGGCAATTCCTTCTTGCTAAGTTTGGGACATATTTTGTTCCTCACAGTGCCTTTTTTTCATTCATCCCTGTTTTTGTTGTTGTTGTTGTTGTTTCTGGATAGATTCCCCATCTTGTCTAAAAATCCCAAGATTTTAAGCAGAATTTAAAATTCTGTTCTTCATATCCTCTTCTGTTTATTTTGGCTCGCTATTAATCAGTAGAAGTATTCCTTGTCTCTTTGTGATTACTTAGCATACCTCTTGTTTTTAGTACCAAAAATCAGGTTCCCTGAAGGACCCCCTACTAGATGACCATGGAGATTTTAATAGAATGTGCACCGCAATGAAGAAGATTGGGCTTAATGATGAAGAGAAGCTGGACCTCTTCCGAGTGGTTGCTGGTGTTTTACATCTGGGGAATATTGATTTTGAAGAAGCTGGCAGCACATCTGGTTAGGCTGTTTTGCTGATTTGATGGCACATAATCAATCATTGTATTTCACTGAAACAGCAATGCTGAAAATAGAAATTGCTGCCACTTAATTCTGAAATTAAGAGTTTATTTCCTAGCAAAGATTTAAAAAGTTTATTTGAATTAAAAAAAACCTATTTGCAATAAGGCATGCTAATTCTCTCACTTGCTAGGTTAGCTTCACATAGTTCTTTCTCCTAAGCTGGGAAAAAGTATATGTAATTAGAAAGGCCAAAACTAATTCTTTAAAATTCCTTGGAGAAATTAAGACAAGTACTGCAATGGATCAAGAGCAAGCTTCTGTATGATGCCAAGATGATTATCATTCATTCAATTAATCATTCAGCCTGTACTAAAAGTACCAAGGCAATACCAAAATACCAAAGGGCGTGCATAAGCGCACAATCGTGCCTACCGTCCCTGTCCTATTGTCCCCAATTATTAGTTCCCATTTCTTATATTTAAACTTACGTTTATTCTTATTTCTATTGTATTGTAAGTTTTTGACAAAACAAATAAATAAAATAAAATAAATATACAAAGGAGAACCAAATTAAAGTGTAATTACTATAAAAGAAATTAAGAAGCAACAGATAATATAATTGTAAAGTAATTGTAATACATACACACATAAATCTGTAGGGGTAGAAGAATATAGTAAGTAAACATAGGAAATAATGCACTTGAGTCCTCAACATCATATGAAATCCAGAGCTAAGTTTATTCCCTTTTTATTACATGCCAGATACAGTGTGGGTTGAAGAAACAATGGTCTCTAAATTGTACCACTGTGGCTTGTTTTACTCCTGACTGTTTTATTATCCCAAACACATAATTTAAAATGCTGAGTGAATAATGAAACCAAGAGAAACATGTTGAATTAGAAAGATATCTTGACAATGTGGCAAGCCAAAGTGAAAGTAACGTTTGTAAGATGTACAAATAGAAAGAAACCCAGTGGGATCCAAAGGGGATGGGTCAATGAATATCGTATATCAAGTGCAGCTTGATTATTTATTTGAAACCCTTCTTGATGTTTTAAATATGTATTCTGTTGTTTAAGAGGAACAGATAACACTGAGGTGATATAAAATTCTCATGACTACTTGTGCACAGAATCACTTTTAACTTGAATTTACATTATGCCCTGCTCTTCTTGGGAAGTTTTAAATAAAGTTTTATGTGTGGATTCCTGTATTTTGGGCAGAGGTTTTTCTTATTACCTGCTCCTTTCTTAACTGACGGTGCTAGGAACTGAACCACAAAGCACGTTAACGACTTTTCCTTGGTGATTACTGCCTTTCATTTTCCTTGGCAGAAAGCCCTGTTCTAAGGTAGTGGATGCTGGCCATATTTCTTTTCACTGGCTTGAATGCCAGTGTTGAAGGTATCCATTAATTCTGTATAATTTCTTAACCATTGGACTGTTCGGACAGTTTTAAAAAATGATACGTATATGGCACAAACAAACACCAGTGTCTAGACAGTTTTTATCAGCAATCATTTTTAAATTGTCTGAACACTCCAATGGTTAAAAAATATATACATACATACACATGTATGTACACACACACACACACACATACATATACATAACTATATTAGTAAACTTTTTTCTTTCGTTTTCATCAGGTGGATGTACACTGAAAAACAAATCTGCCCAGTCTCTGGAATTCTGTGCTAAACTACTTGGTTTGGATGAGGATGATCTCCGTGTGAGTTTAACCACCAGAGTCATGCTGACAACAGCAGGGGGCACCAAAGGGACGGTTATCAAGTAAGTTGAAAGAGAGCAAGCAGATCTTTCTTGCTGTCCTCACTAGGTTTGCTATGACTTTTGCAGCCAAAGTTGCAAGTATCAACTCTTAAAATATCTTCTTTGAGCTGTTTTGGAATTATTGAGAATGTAAAAGAAGGGCAAGGGCACCCCTCGCCCCTCTCCTGTTTGTGTCGTAAGGTAAATTGGTGTTGATTTCTTAGAATAATATAATATCTGTCACCATGTAAAATGTTTCCTTTCATCCCAGCGTGTGAGGGGAAAATGTATTTTGCATAATAACAATAAGGATTTCTTTTTTACCTGTTAATACTAAGCTGTCAAGTATTAGTAGAAGTGAAAATGCCTTAAGATGGAGCTCAGCTCAGCTTGAATCCATATCTATGTTGCAATAATAGTTTAAAAGCAAAGAACAAATGTGAACTTTATGTTAAGAGTAGAGTCTGCATGGCGCCTAGGAGTGTTTTGGCAAATAATTTGTAAACATGCAAATAACCTACAGAACTATCCTGCTGTCATGCTTCCTGAATGGTGAGCCACCCTTAATGGACCACAGGGTCCATTATCTTATAAGAGTGATAATTTTGTGATAGAATCTTTTATTTCTTTAAGCATACCAAATTTGGCTGATGGTGTTCTGGTGCATCTTCCAGATTTTGTTTTGTGTTTTATCTTCATGTTCTACTTTATTACCTCTTTCTACAAAACAATCGCATTTGTATTTCCCATAACTAACTATCTCGCTCTAGCTTTTGTTTGTATAATTAAAGATTTTAAAAAAGAAAATTAAAAACTAATACAAACTAATGTAAAGTAAGAAAAAGAAAAGAAAGAAATCAAAGGAAATTAAAGGAAAAATAGAAAAAAGGGAAGAAAAAGGGAAGAAGGAAGTAGTTGAAGGCTACACAAAACCAATGGGCTGCCCTTTTGTCATGTAGAGGACCAAAATGGGATCCAGATTTACAAAACCAGATTCTCATTGTGAGAAAATGTTGAGAAGGAAGAGGGGCTGCAAGAAGGAGCAAGAATTATCTTGTGTCTATTTCCCTCATAGAAACATCTTACAGAATTCCGCACATAATGAGGAAGAAATAAGTCTGTAGAAAGATCCTAATATTGACAGAATGTATATTTACCATGTTTCCCCGAAACATGGCCCCCAAAATAAGCACCAGGTTTTATTTTGGGAGGATGTCTTACCCACTTACCTTAGGACCATCATAGCCAGGCCTCCCATGCCCCAACACTTGTTGCATAGCTGCTTGACTTCTGCGGCTGGACACCCCGTGGCTCATGGTGCCTCTGCTGCCACACACGGCAGGAGGCTGCATGAGATGTTGCGCCAGTGCCACCACTCGCCTCTTCCACATGGCTTCCTGCCACGAGAGCAACACTGGTGATATGTGCCACACGGCCTGCCACCAGGGTGGGATCTGACCAGTGTAACTACCGGTTTGGTGATTTTACTTTTTGTGCGCACATGCATGCTTCACGCGTGCACGTGCCTGAACATCATTGTCAGCTAGCTGCCTGGACAGCTGAGCAGCACTGCGCGTGAGTGCGCAGCAGTTGAACAAACTATTTTTTCCTGCTTTTTCAACCGCAGCTGTGTCGCACAAAGCAGCTGCGGTTGAAAAACCAAGAAATAAAGTAAGGTAAGAGCCCGGGCGGGCCAAAACAGCAGCAGACATAGAATCAGTTCTATGTATGTTTTCTGTCTGCTACTCTTCAGAACTACCAGTTCTACAGAGGTGGACAGAACCAGTAGAATCCCACCCCTGCCTGCCACGAGTGGCGGCACTGGCGCGGTGCACCATGTGGCCTCCTACCACGAGTGGCGGCACTCGGGTGGGATTCAAAATTTTAACAACTGGTTCTGTGGGTGTGGCTTAGTTGGTGGGTGTGGCTTGGTGGTCATGTGACTGGGTGGGCGTGGCTTGGTGGTCATGTTATTGGCTGGGCATGGCCAACTCAATATCACTCACATCGAGGCACACATCTCCTCGCCTGGCCTCTCATGACTGTGGGGATGCTGCAACAGTCATAAGTGTGAAAAATGGTCATAAGTCAGTTTTTTCAGTGCCATTGTAACTTTGAATGGTCACTCCACACAAACAAAGTGCAAGCAAAAGAGGGAAAGAAAACTTCAGAGAGGTTCCTGAGATAGCAAGTCTAGTCCTGCCAAGAATGTAAAAAGGGTTAATGGAGAGGCAGTTTCTGTAAGCAACACCAGAATGTTTCCTTCCTGCCTTCCTTACAGGATTAGGCCAGTAATTTCTTCTAACAACTGGTTCTCCGAACTGCTTAGAATGTTAACAACTGGTTCTAGCAAATGGCTGTGAACTGGTAGAATCCCAACCCTGGCGGCACTGGCACAATGCGCCTTGTGGCATGCGGCCGCAGAAGTCAGACAATGGCGCAACAGGTTTTTAGGTCATGGGAGCCTGGCTATGGTGGTCCTAAGGCAGGGGTTCCCAACCTGGGGTGCAAGACAATATTCCAGGGGGTGCGAGAAAAGTCCAGGTAAAATAATAGGATATTGGCTATATGTTGGCATTTTTATTTATTATGCAATGGATTAACTTTGTTTTCATTTTAGAGTTAAGTATCGTTATTTAGTGGCCGTCACATACATAGCTGAAAAGATTCAATCCTACCATATATTTAACGCGTTCAGTAGTTCCTAAAGTCTAAATTTCAGGAGGTGCGAGGTTCGAGTGAAATTTCTTTAGGGGTGCGGGGCGAAAAAAAGGTTGGGAACCACTGTCCTAAGGTAAATGGGACGCATGGGGTAGCTCCACCCACTACCCCTGCCCTAGCTTGAGTTTTATGTATGCGCCTCACCCCACCTCTTACAACCAGATGGTGGGACAGAGTGGGCAGGGTCTTAGGGTTTATTTTTGGAATAGGTCGTATTTTCAGGGAAACACAGTAGCTATGACTGAGAATCAGGAGTGAATGTACCTCGCCAATACTGCATTCTTTTAGCAATGACCCCTGTTAGAAGTGTCCCTATTTCTTGATAAATGTTCCATGTATATCTTTAGCGACCAATCTTTGTTAACAAACCTGTAAAAGTGACTTCCAAGGCCTAGGACAACTGTAAGTCACATGAGACTTGAAATTCTAGACCTAGAAAACCTAGAACTATGCCGCCTTCAGTCCGATCTAAGTATAGTATATAATATCATACATTGCAATGTCCTACCTGTCAATGAATACTTCAGCTTCAACCATAACAACACAAGAATAAACAATAGATACAAACTCAAGGTTAATCGCACCAAACTTGATTGCAGGAAATACGACTTCAACCTTAGATTTTCTACTATTGACCTCACCCCTTTCCTAAGAGGTCTGTAGGGGGCGTGCATAAGCGCACCAACGTGCCTACTGTCCCTGTCCTATTGTTTCTTTTATTTTTCTTATATGTATCCATGTATTCATAACTATGTTTTTACTTATACCTATTATTTTATAAGCAATTGACAAATCAAATAAAATAAATAAACATGAGTAGGCCTTGCTTTCTCTAAATTGCACCTCCCATAATGGGAGCTCCATACTTATACTTTATTATTCATGTCAGTAAACACAAAACAGAAATTTCTGTTATATTTATTTCATGCTGTGATTCTTTTATTTTGCTCTTTTCAAAACAGCCCACAGTTTAAAACCTTTTAAGGTTGGAAACAATGGTACTGAAACTTGAGTTAGACTGAATTGAACCTAGTCTTGCAGTTACACACTGCTAAACATTTTAAGGTTCCCAAGGTTGCCATTTAGAACAGTGGTTATTTTTCTGTAAACAATGTACAAACAGTTAATTGAATGGTTGCATTCACTTTCTACAGATTGTAATTTTCATACAGCAGGTATCTATAGTTGCTCCTTAACTACATGTATCTGTAAAATTTCTGCTTTTTAGCTACTTAAATATTTATTGTTTTAAATTTTATCTACTATTTAATGTAAAATTAAAGTGAGTCAAATGCCTTATTTAAAAGATTGACCATTGACATGAACTTTGAGGATTACACTGCTGAGCTTTTAAAAGCTCCAGAAGGAGTATAGAAAAGAACCTTCTCTCTATTTTTAAGTTAAGATTCTGTCAATGCCTATTACCATAAGATAAATCAAGAGATTATGCATTAAAGCTACTTGTACTCTAATGAAATGCAGTGGTAGCCATTTTTTTTAGTAATGAGAGCTTTCACTTCCTTGACCTTTTTTTTTCAGTAATAGGAAGGGAGCATTGGGTCCATCCTATCATGTTGCTATTTCATAATAAGAAGTAAATTCTCTTTAAATACATTTCATCAAGTTAGAGAAGACAGGCTGCCTTTGCCTATTAATGCTGGCAGTTGCCTTACAAGCCTTCTACCCTTCCTCTCTGCGCTGACCCACAGAACAGCACACCCAAGATTGACTGCAGCTTTCCTCAGACTGATGTGTCAGTGCCTCAGTTTAAATAGGATTGTGATTTTCAGTAAGGAGGGCTTAAGGTGACTGAAACAGTTCAGGCTGCCATCCTGAAAGGAGGGAAGGGCAGTGAAAACAAGTTACTGGATTCTTTTACTATTGGCTTAAGGCAGGGGTCAGCAATCTGCGGCTCTGTAACCCCATGTGGCCCTTTCACCCCTCTGCTGTTGCTCCCTGATGTTGGTTGGCTCCACAATTGATAGGGCTTTCGGTTAGGACAGGTAGAGGAAAAAGGATGCCGCGCTAGGAGGAGACTCTATGGCGGGGGAACCGGACTTCTGGTTGGCTCCACAATGGAATGGGGGGGCGGTTTCCGATAAGGACCTTTACGGCTCTTTGAGTGTTTAAGGTTGCCGATCTCTGGTTTAGGGCAGTGCTTCCCAAATCTGAGTACATTACCCAAAATTTGGTAAAAGTGGTTTTTCTTTGGTTAATGCTATGTGAACCCATTACCTAATTACAGCAGGGATATTTAAGTTGATTTGTTTTACCTACATTGGGTATAAAGGACTTTTTGATAAGCGGTTTTGAGTAACGAAGGGTGAAGTTAGGGGAGCACTGTTTTAGGACATAAAACTAAGGCTGAACCAAATGTGCACTCACCTAATTGTATTCTTTCCTCATGGTTAAGGTTTCAGGGATATTGACCCTTTTTTGTATTCCGCTCTAGAAAAGAAGAAGAAAGTAAGCATAGCACAGATTGGCGCTTCTTTCATTTTAGGAAGCAGCAGTGCCTTTTCTGAACCTTTTGTAACCTTAATTGCCTGTGTTTTGGGTGTTACCTTTTCCTCTCAGAGATCCTGCTCGCCATAGTAGATAGTGACTTTAGCACATGACCCCAGTGAGGTTAATTCAGAAAGAAGCAGTATTATCCGAATAGGCACTGATTTAAACTAATTTGACCTCATTGGCATGGTCAAACGGTCAAACCTTAATTGCTATACATAAGTAGTCCATGACTTACACCCACAATTGGGAACAGAACATCCCTCACAAAACAAGATGGTTGTTGATTGAGTTACACCCAATTTTACAACTTTTTTTTTGCTGCGGTTGATAAGCGAATCACTGTGTCTGTTAAGTGAGTCACATGGTTGTTAAGCAAAGCTGGCTTCCCCCCATCGACTTTGCTCATTGGCAGTTGTGTTTCAGCACAAACGTTTCAACTTCTTTTTCATGTCGTTCCAGTATTGCTGGTTCCATCTTTTTCTCTCTGTGCAACTTTTACCTCACCTGTCAGATGTGAACTGAAATCCTTGTGAAATTAGCCATCCCAAAATTTTTGTTTTGTTAATGATGTCTTAATGTCACATGCTATTGCATCCATATGATTTGTTTTAAAGACTTTTTCTTTTAAAAGCCACATTTCATCTTATATAATTGATTTCAGAAGGATGGATTTTTTTTAAAAAAAAGTGGCATTGAATTTTTTTTTTTAAAAGTCCCTGAAAATAAATGGCACTTTTAAATAAAATACTATTTCAATATTGCAGACAAATCAGCAAAATCAGCATTGCAGAAGAAAATCAGTATCATTATTACTGAAAAAGTGCTAATGCTAGGAGATATAGCAGTGACTAACACATTTTCTGCCATTTTTAGTTTTTCATAAAAAAGAATGAATTTATTTGATTTAGTTTTTCCTCATTTCCAGGGAAGCTAGAAATAAAATGAGCAACTTTAAAAAAAGAGAAAGAAAAAAATCATCATGTTTCTTCCCTCTGAGTGGCCTTGATAAGTTGTATATACAGTCACTCACTCAAACACAGAGAGAGAGAGAGAGAGAGAGGGAGGGAGGGAGGGAGGGAGAAGGAAGGAGGGAGGGAGGGGGAGAGAGCGGGAAGGAGGGAGAGAGAGAGGGAGGGAGGGGAGAGGGAGGGAGGGAGAGAGAGAGACTGGATATATGAGAAAGTACTATTTATATAAACTTGTAGTCCGGTTCTTGTAGTGATAGCCATACTTTTCCATAAGTCTTCTGCAACTGCTGAACAGAATAACAGAGTTGGAAGAGACCTTGGGGGTCTTTCTAGTCCAACCCCCTGCTCAGGCAGGAAATTCTATACCATTTCACAAATGGTTGTCCAAATTTCTTCTTAAAAACTTCCAGTATTGGAGTATCCACAAGTCATTCAGGATGGTGTGAACATGCAAGACCAGTGTGGCATTGGTACTTTACATAAGCCCAGCTTGGTCATAAAACCAGAAGATCTCTATGTTTTATGGACTCCTCCTATGTTCAATACTCTGAATCTAGCTGGACTAATTTTGATACTCTCTGGCATGTGTTTTATGGAAATGCATCCAAATTCCATTATGTAGGATTTGGCCTGAACTGATTTAAACATCCAGAATGAATTAGACTGATTTTCCAAATTGATTAGGACACTCAATTCGATCTGATTTGCATACCTTTAATATGTTACCCTGAGCATCTAGCATGCTTCCAGTTGTATGACTGTGGTTATGTTCTAGTGAAGAATTTGGTATCTTTTAGTCTGTTTACTTATTATATAACTTCATCAGGAACTTAGTTGACTAATATTATGTCAATTTTGCTGCTCTCTGCCATATTGCTTTGTTAGACACCAACCTAAGAAACCTTAGCAAATTCTGTAAGAATTTCTTGTGGTGTTTAGGAGGAAGTTTGTCATCTGCCAAAGCTTTTATTGCTGGAATCCCATGTGGTTATATTTAATGCTGTTTCCATTAAATATTTAGTTTATTTAAATTTTGACCATGTTATTGTAATCTCCCTTGTCTGCACAAATATGGAACAAATTGCTGGTAATTATAATACTTTATTTTCTCTCCAGGGTTCCATTAAAAGTAGAACAAGCAAATAATGCACGCGATGCTTTGGCAAAAACTGTCTATAGCCACCTCTTTGACCATGTGGTCAACAGGGTAAATCAATGTTTCCCATTTGAGACGTCATCTTTTTTCATTGGTGTTCTGGATATTGCAGGTTTTGGTGAGTGTTTTAACTATTCAGACTGTGTGCTTTTTTTGTTTATCATTGCTTACAACAAGAAATCCTGGACATGGAGTGACAAAATTTGAGAGCCAATTGTATGTAGCAATTAAAATATTAGTGCTGGATTAGAAATCAGAAGACTGGGATTCTATTCCTCCCTTCGGCATCTGTGTGACTTTGGGCCTGTCCTTCTCTCTCAGCCCTGCCATCCACACAGGCTTGTAGTTGTGGTGGCAATATGACAGAGGAACATTATGTACAATATCTTGAGATCTATAAATAATGGTGGGATACTAATCTAATAATAATAATAAAAATAATAATGATTTGTCCAAAATGATTTGGCTTAAAATGTGAGTCTGATCTGCACTCCGTAGCCAGCCAAATACCTCATCAGTTTGCAAATGCCTGGATATTTTAGAGATCTTTTCTTAGGCCCACTTTATTTTTTTTAATCTGTTCTAAAAGGAGTGCACTTGAGAAAAACATTGTGAGCAAAATAGGCACCTCAGTTCTCTCAATGTCTGCAACCAACAGCCTCCTGCTAATTATACACAGTTACCAGTGGCTGGGAAATTAATGGGCTTCTTTCTGCTATTGGTTGACCACTGTGAAAGCAGACTGTTGAACTAGATGGGCAAGGGGTGTGATCCAGCAGGGCAGTGCTTATGTACATACACTTATTTTTGTTTTGTTGTGTGTTGCTTATTGTTTGGACATTTTAAGCCTTATAGAATTTCAAGATATCAGGCAATATCTCTAATAAAGAATCCATTAATTCATGCTTGTCATTAAGGCTCCCCCCCACAGCAATATGAAAATGGGGAAAAGTACTCTTTTCATTTAATTCAGTGAATTCTAGCTGCACATATTTTCATGTTTGCTAGAGAGAGATTTCCTAGTATCTCTCCTCATTTCCTAGTATTTTTCCTCATTTCCTAGTATCCTCAAATCTCTTATTTCCGCAATTCCCAGCATTACCAGCTGACAGGATGCAATTCACCCTATGTAGTAGCAGCAGCTACTACTGTGTAGAGCAGATGCCAGCTGATTTCAGACTTGCAAAAGCTTTTTTTTTTTAATTGAAATGTACCAGCTTGCTAAACAGAGGTAATTTTTTCAGACAAAAATCCACTCCAGGTTACCCAAAGCTCTCTTTGCTCCAAAGTAATCATTGTGATATAATAAAATCAGAATCAGAATAGATCTAGCAGGGACCTTGGAGGTCTTCTAGTCCAGCCCCTTGCTCAAGCAGGAGGTCCTATACTATTTCAGACAAGTGACTGTCCAGTCTCTTCTGAAAAACCTCCAGTGATGAAGCACCCACAACATCTGAAGGCAAGCTGTTCCATTGATTAATTGTCCTCCCTTAGGAAGTTTCTCCTTAATTCCAGGTTGCTTCTCTCCATGATTAGTTTCCATCCATTGTTTCTTGTCCTGCTCTCAGGTGCTTTGGAGAATAAATTAACCCCCTCTTCTTTGTGGCAGCCTCTCAAATACTGGAATACTGCTATCATATTCCCCATAGAGAGTTGCTATTATTTAAACTACTGGCAGAAATTTTTCTTGACCCGCAGCAAATCAAGAGATCTACTGGTGCCTTTTGATCTGTCCACCTTGGTGTAGAAAGCCTGATTGTGGAATACTGTGCTACAATGGACCATGAGATGATACCTCTAAAGCTGTTCACCATTTTGTTTTGCAGAATACTTCGAACACAACAGCTTTGAACAGTTTTGCATTAATTACTGTAATGAGAAGCTACAGCAATTCTTCAATGAAAGGATCCTTAAAGAGGTAATGTAGAACATGCCAAGCTATCAGGAGGTTCAGGAAAGAAACCAGATATGCTGCTTTATTTATGTGTTGATTTTTCTCTTAATCTTGGTCAGCTTTACATATTACCTACAGCAATGTCAGGAGCTATTTCACTGAATCTTACAAAACTCAGTCATCTCCAAAATAATCCCACATGGCATGCTGCTCTATCCAGGACTTGACACTAAAACATATGCTGTATCTTGTGACATTCACAACTTAGCTTGACTTTTCAGCTAGGCACAACATTCATAAGTCTAGGTTAGCTAGAGTAGAATTTTTGTTGTGGACAAAGACACACCACAATTGACTTTTCCCTGGTAACGAGAAGGTGAAAGTGACTTATAGCCATGGGATTAAAACTCCTGGCTTCTTCCTTCCCTAATTTATGGATACTTGGCAGAGCATAATATCCTGGGTGACTTTGAAGATAAGTGGCTGTCGTGTTTTTACATAATGGTCATCTTCAGCCTGGAAATCATTGATTCTGGTTTCGATCTTTTATAGCACAGTTCTTGCAGCGTTCTTTTTCTTCTTACTTGGTGACTTGAAAACTCTTATGTGAACACTTGTCAAAGATTTATGTCTAAATCGGTGTCATTACTATCCAGTGGCATTTAGAGCACATGTGGAATGCTTGCAAAGTCCTTGAAAACTTGAAAGTGACAATATATTAGTACACACTACAACAAGGAATGCTATGTTGTTATACCATTAACACTGAAAAAGATCAACTTTATTCATATCTGGCAATTAGATAAAGGCAATTCATGATCCCTAATCTTCAGAAAAAAATAAACATGCCAGACAGGAATATTCATGGCTTCAGAAAAATATGAAGCTTTTTCTTTAAGAAGCTTGAGGGTTTTTTCCCAAATAACTTTATTGATTTTCAAAAACACAAGACTAAAAAATAAGCAAATGAAAAAAATCTAAAGAAAAAAAGATACAAAAAAGAAAAAGCACTCAGAAAAAGATAAGATAAAGGTACCAAAAGAAAAAATAAGAAAAATGGGGTAAGAATGATTTCAGATCATTTCTTTCTTTGGAACAGATATGGAGACACACACACACACACACACACACACACGAAGCTTGAGTTTTTCAAAACAAGTTTCAGCTATTTCATTTTTAGAGTTTCATGTTCCCAAAGTCAAATTGCTTACCCCACTAAAATACCTCATTACAGCTTCAGAATGACAAGTTCTTTTTGAGTGGGATCAGCTTCATTGGGAATAAGTTACATTGAGTCAGAAGAATAGCAGTGGCATTAATGGAATCTGACATCTCAGGCATGGGTGCTTAACCCCATTGTGGGTGGTATGATCAGACAGGCTATTACAATTCTGTTTCTCTTATAGGAACAAGAACTTTATCAAAAAGAAGGTTTAGGTGTTAATGAAGTACATTATGTGGATAACCAGGACTGTATAGGTATGTAAGTTGAGTACTGGGATAATGTTTATATGCAAAAGCTCTATTGATTATGGCTTCTGTTAAAACTATGCAGAACTACCGTATTTTTCAGTGTATAAGACACACCTCCCCTCCCCCAAAAGTGGGTGAAATGTCTGTGCATCTTATACAGTGAATGTTGTCGAAGCTCCTCCCACCCGCTGGCCCCCACACTTCGGCCTCTGCCTCTCAGAAATTTGCCTCCTTGCAGCAAACAGTAAACAGCCTGGTCAGCTTCAGCACAGCCTGATTTAATACGAGCAGCTGATTGTTGGTTGGATCTGCCTCCTGACGATCAGCTGTTTTAGACTGCAGGAATTGCCATCACCTATTGCTGCCTCTGTGTGCCCCATTTTCAGCCTCCACATCCCATTTTCGGCCTCCGTGCACCCCATTTTCTGTCTCCACGTGCCCTGTTTTCGGCCCGTTCCAGGAGACAGGGATCAAATACAGAAATCTGTAAGACTGCTGGCCCTGTGCCAGAAAGTGCTTTATAGGTGGCCACCAACATTTTGAATGCCTTCTGGAAGTACACTCAGACTCTTGGAATTAATACTTGGCTTTTTCCTGGACCAAGGAGTTTAGTGAGTCCATTGTTCTGGATATTGTGGATGTGATTATATATATTGCCCCAGGCACAATGTGTAGGGGGGAGAGGTAAATTATAATTTATTATTAATTTAAATTAAACTGTTGTTTATCCTATAATAATAAGTCAAGAACCTTCTTGATGATCAACATGGATATATTTCTTGTTTACTTTTGTTCTAGTATATTCATAAAATGTTTATACAAAGCATTTCTGTATTTGATTTTACCATAATTTTTGTTCTTTTAATGCATATTTGTAAGCACCTTTACATAACAGTAGAAACATGGTTATTAAATCGTAACAGTATATTAGTGTGGTTGAGAATTTTGTTTAAACTGCAGCCACTCCAATAACTTGCAATCATTCACATTTTAAATAATTTGATTTTAAATAGTCATACTGCATCTCTCTTGTGAGGCTGAGATTTCTGTGGGATATATCACTATATATATAATGATATATAACATTAATAGGATACAAGCAAGTATTTTCTTATTTGGTTAAGTTAGTTTTTTATCATTGCATATTATTTATGAAATAGCCTATGGTTTTTATCATTCAAACAGATTTGATTGAAGGAAAATTGATAGGAATCCTTGATATTTTGGATGAAGAAAATCGTCTTCCACAGCCAAGTGATCAACATTTTGCTTCAGTGATTCATCAGAAACAAAAACAACATTTCAGGCTATCGGTAGGATTATTTTTTTAATTTAGATTTGTTGTTTCCCCAGATGAATCAGCTTATATAAACAATTGTTTGCCTGAGATTGGCTTGTTTCCTTATTGCATTCGATCAGTTTCCCTTTAACTCAGATATACACATTCAAAGGATCACATGGCTACCTTGTGAACCCAGAAAAAGGCTGTGCTTTCTTTAAGGAGGTAAAGATAAGTGCAACGAGTGCATTCACACAAAAGCAAATACTGGTTTCAAAACCAGATGGCTATCATTCACCAACAGAGAGGATGACTGTGGTAGGGAGACAGTGAAAGTGGAAAGTCAGTTCAGTTTGGCAAAGTCCCTGAAATAAAGATTTTTGCGAGATCTTGATAACCATACCACTCTAGTTATGAAATTACTTGCTTTGTGCCATTCATTGTTACAGTCCCTAAAATAAAATTTGTGATGAGTTCTTTAGACATCTTTCTACCTTACCCATGTGGTACAAGAGTTTGATGCCAATCATGTTGTGGTAAAGTCAAGGTTGGCATATTTCAATCATATTTCAAGAGTAACGCCATAGTTGAGATCAGTATTTTTTTTTTACTTGACATCTTTATGATGTGTAGACTTCAACTCCTGGAGTTATCAAGTTTGAAAAACATTGGTTTAGGTATTGGATTAGGACTGGTAATAACCCCACAGAAATCCACTTTCAATAAAGAAAGCACCATAAAGGATAAAGCAAAGAGGAATCCTTCAATCTTGACTCCCTGGAAAAAAGAAGAAATACAATTTGGAACCTGTATGGCATTCTTTCCAGTGAGAAATATTTAGGTTATAACTTTTCTCTGTATGTCTATAGGAAAACATGCTCGAACATTTAGTCATGTAGTGGTTAAAGAAGGAGGAGTTTGAGGTTCAAGTCCACCCTTGCTGGATGACTTTTATCTAGCCATTCTCTCTCAGTCTAGTCTAACTCACAGGGCTATTGTTAAAATGAAGGGAGAATGCCAGGCAAGCTGTCCTGAATTGCTAGACAAAAAAGCAGGGTAGAAATCCAATGCATCAGTAATAAATAAATCTTTATTTGAAAAGGCTGGGACCAAGCATTGGCCCTACATCTTTATGTCTAAAAATGTCATCATTGAATACAAACTGAAAAATCCACTGTGGATTAGATGAAATTACAGATTTTTTGAAAAGTGACTAGATATGATCCTTTAGTATTCTTGTATCCCTACCTCCAAGAAAATGACAGGAAACAGCAATTGTGATGGCAATATAGTTATCATTATTTGTCCCATTCAAAGATGGTGCTTTGTAAGGTTGCTTTCAAAAGATTCACCAGAAGTTGTAGGTAGTCTAAAATGCAAACTGGTGACTTGGGTAGATTGCTGTACAATTGATTTTGAACTAATTCTAATTTCTAAATTCAGTTAAATTACTGATCTTTTTAATGCTTAGAGCCTAAACTGCCAGAGATCAGGTTATTAGAAGATCTGCCTTGTTCCACATACCTGATCTGTTTGTTAAGATGTACTTTAAAAGCTCTTAAGATTCCTTTCCCTTTTTATGTATTCAAGCTAGTGTGATTTAACAATATTAACTAAGAGCCAATTGAGACCGTTTTAACCAGTATATTGCAATGGGATGACCTTGCTGCTGGATTTTCTTCACAATAAAATTTTCTTTAAGTCTCATTGGTGTTTGTTGTGAGTTCTTGCAGCATTTGTTTTACATCTGTATATATCTTAAATTATATTTCTTTCGCTCCTCAGATACCCAGGAAGTCTAAATTGGCTGTTCATCGAAATATTCGTGATGATGAGGGATTTATCATCAGACATTTTGCAGGAGCAGTTTGCTATGAGACGGTAAATTAATGCTGTTGCTCATTCTTTAATTTTTTTAAAGAAAAGTGCTAATCAATGATTTGTTATTTTTATGGATATTCTACATTTGTTTTAATATAAATTAAATTCTCCCTTTACAACGAGCATTTAGTATTACAGAACAGTTAGTGCCCATAAAATATGTAGTGATTATATACTGAAGGACAATCAGGAGATCCCTCTGGAAATTAATTCACAAATAAATAGGTCAGCTAAAAGCATATATTTTTTTAAAGGGAACTCATGCTTGCTTTCTCAAGGCAAAAAGAAAGTGAATAATGTGAGCCTGGAAGCCTTCCAGAAATCACTATAGGAGCTCCTGTTTCTTACACATTTCAGTCTCTGCTCAGGAACACAGAGATAACCTAATTGTACCCTATGACTATCATTAAGTGTTGTACCTTATGATTCTTGACGAATGTATCTTTTCTTTTATGTATACTGAGAATATTTGCACCAAGACAAATTCCTTGTGTGTCCAATCACACTTGGCCAATAAAGAATTCTATTCTATTCTATTCTATTCTATTCTATTCTATTCTATTCTATTCTATTCTATTCTATTCTATTCTATGAACCATCCTTTCTCTAAGTAATAACACTACAGGTAGTCCTTGACTTAACAGCCACTTGTTTACTGACTGTTTGAAGTTACAAACAGAACTGAAAAAAGTGACTGTTTTTCACACAACTGTTTGCAGTATTCCCATGGTCATGTGATCAAAATTTGGATGTTTGGAAACTAGCAAGTATTTGTGATAGTTGCAGTGTCCTGCGGTCATGCGATCACTTTGTGTGATCCTTCTGACAAGCAAAGTCCATGGGAAAGCCAGATTCACTCAACAGCCATGTTACTAACTTTACAACTGCAGTGAGTCACTTAACAACTGTGGCAAGAATGGTCGTAATATGAGGCAAAACTCATCTAACAACTATCTCGCTTAACAACAGAGATGTTATTATGATCATACATCGCAGACTACCTGTATGTGTGAGAGTGGTAGGAAATAGTTTTTTCTTTGGTTTATTATAATAACTCACCAGAAATTAAAAAATAATACACTGCTCAAAAAAATAAAGGGAACACTTAAACAACACAATGTAACTCCAAGTCAATCACACTTCTGTGAAATCAAACTGTCCACTTAGGGAGCAACACTGATTGACAATCAATTTCACATGCTGTTGTGCAAATGGAATAGACAACAGGTGGAAAGCATAGGCAGGTAGCAAGACATCCCCAATAAAGGAGTGGTTCTGCAGGTGGTGACCACAGATCACTTCTCAGTTCCTATGCTTTCTGGCTGATGGTTTGGTCACTTTTGAATGCTGACTGTGGTTTCACTCTAGTGGTAGCATGAGACGGAGTCTACAACCCACACAAGTGGCTCAGGTAGTGCAGCTCATCCAGGATGGCACATCAATGTGAGCTGTGGCAAGAAGGTTTGCTGTGTCTGTCAGCATGGAGGTGCTACCAGGAGACAGGCCAGTACATCAGGAGACATAGAGGAGGTCGTAGGAGGGCAACAACCCAGCATCAGGACCGCTACCTCCGCTTTTGTGCAAGGAGGGACAGGAGGACCACTACCAGAGCCCTGCAAAATGACCTCCAGCGGGCCACAAATGTGCATGTGGTTGCTCAAACGGTCAGAAACAGACTCCATGAGGGTGGTATGAGGGCCCGACATCCACAGGTGGGGGTTGTGTTTACAGCCCAACACCATGCAGGACATTTGGCATTTGCCAGAGAACACCAAGATTGGCAAATTCGCCACTGGTGCCCTGTGCTTTTTACAGATGAAAGCAGGTTCACACTGAGCACATGTGACAGACGTGACAGGGTCTGGAGACGCTGTGGAGAATGTTTTGCTGCCTGCAACATCCTCCAGCATGACCAGTTTGGCAGTGGGTCAGTAATGGTGTGGGGTGGCATTCTTTAGGGGGCCGCACAGCCCTCCATGTGCTCGCCAGAGGTAGCCTGACTGCCATTAGGTACCGAGATGAGATCCTCAGACCCCTTGTGAGACCATATTCTGGTGCGGTTGGCCCTGGGTTCCTCCTAATGCAAGACAATGCTAGACCTCATGTGGCTGGAGTTTGTCAGGAGTTCCTGAAAGACGAAGGCATTGATGCTATGGACTGGCCCGCCCATTCCCCAAACCTGAATCCAATTGAGCACATCTGGGACATCATGTCTCGCTCCATCCACCAACGCCACGTTGCACCACAGACTGTCCAGGAGTTGGGGGATGCTTTAGTCCAGGTGTGGGAGGAGATCCCTCAGGAGACCATCTGCCACCTCATCAGGAGCATGCCCAGGCATTGTAGGGAGGTCATACAGGCACATGGAGGCCACACACACTACTGAGCCTCATTTTGACTTGTTTTAAGGACATTACATCAAAGTTGGATCAGCCTGTAGTGTTTTTTTCCACTTTAATTTTGAGTGTAACTCCAAATCCAGACCTCCATGGGTTGCTAAATTTGATTTCCATTGATAATTTTTGTGTGATTTTGTTGTCAGCACATTCAACTATGTAATGAACAAAGTATTTAATAAGAATATTTCATTCATTCAGATCTAGGATGTCTTATTTTTGTGTTCCCTTTATTTTTTTGAGCAGTGTAGTTAATTTTAGCTGGTAGTCACAGAGTTTTTATTATCAAGGCAATACATTTGCTCATAATGAACAATACCATTTCAATATATAATCATTTTAGGAACAGTAACATTTTGGAGAAGAATACTTGAAAATATTGTAGGAGTAGAACGAAGTTAATCTATTGTAACTAAAAAAAATAAAAAAAGAATCAAGCAGCTCCTTTGAAAAATAACAAATTTTATTGTAAGGCTTAAGCTTTTGTGAGTGGCAGCTCACTTCATCAGATGCAGAGATTGGCTGACAAATGTAAGGTTTAAATTGGTGACACAGAGAAAAAAGGAAAGCAAGACAGTGTGTTTATACAGATGCAAGTTATGCAACAGTGCTGTTGCTATTAAAAGTGCCTTACCAATTAACAATTGTATTAAAATCCTATAGGATTTTATTTAATTGTGTTAAAATCCTATAGGATTTTTCAGGCCTTCTGAGATTGTGCGAAACCTGTTGATGCTTAGGAGTCTTCCATGAAGTGATAGTATTGATGTTTATTTGTCTCAAAACTGCTACTTGAAAATAGAGCTGGTCTGTTCTTCCATACTGAAAAAAAAATTGCAGAGGTTTTACAGCATTGCTTTTAGAGAGAGTGGGTTGCTGACAATTTTTTTCTTATGTGCTTGCTTTAATTCCTATATGTATGATCTACAGAGAGCTTGGATCTGTATGCTCTCCTGAGTGACTTAAATGCTTCTGATTTTCCTCAGACCCAGTTTGTGGAGAAAAACAACGATGCTTTGCATATGTCTCTGGAGTCCCTTATATGTGAATCCAAAGATAAATTTATCCGAGTACTTTTTGAGTCCAACACTAACAACAATAAGGATACTAAGCAAAAAGCAGGAAAACTAAGTTTTATCAGCGTGGGAAACAAATTCAAGGTATGGTCGTTTTATAAGACTGGTCGTAATAGTCCTATAAAGGAATCCACAGATGATAGTGAATTCAGTTTCATTCCACGATCCTTTGTAGCATCTGGAGATCTCTTCTTTATAGTAGGAAAAATGTTAATGCTTTAATGTTTTCGACAGACTCTACAGATTTGGGGAGCCTTGGCTTTTTAGAAACATTTCAGCTGTTATTAGACTACCTTGCTGGATCAATTTGTAAAGTCCTAGATAGTTCCCCAAATAGTTATTTTATGTTTTATCATTCTTCAATCATCTTTTATGACTAATGAACAAAAGAAATTTTTTCAACATTATCTTTTGTAATAATGTTCTCTCATATTTCCGGTGTGTCTTTTTGGATTTTCCTATTGTCCCCTTACTTATTTTTCCATGCAGCTCATGGGATGTTAAAATTCTTCTTGGAAATTTTAAATAAAAAATTCAATTCAAATCAAATTTTCCTCTGGTTTAAATCCAGCACACTTAGGAACAACTGGACAGAGTAGCAAAACACCAACCTATCTATATATACCTAACAATTAAGATATACAATAATTAAATTAAGAATACTAATGATGCTCTTAATTTTTATGCTATAGAAATCATGATCCACCATGTTGTAAAAGCAAAATTTTCAAACATTATATCTAACATAAAATTTTTATAAACCAAAACAAAATCTTCATAAACATCTTCTGTCCAGCCTTTAGTTGCTGGTAAGGAAGGAAAACTCAAAGGTGCTTTTTTTCAAAACACAAGTGTACTTTCTTGGTTGTTTGTTTTGAAATTGTTTTGCTTCTCATCCAGAACTGAAGAAACTTCTTAGATGAGAAGTGAAATGTTTTCAAGGGGGAAAACCCAATAAAGTCAACTTGCCTTTTGAAAAAAAAAAAGCACCTTTGGGACAACCATGACCTTAACGATTGAGAATCTCCATAGACATTTAAGGAACCATAAATCTGAATTAAACTCAGAGTGTACCTGAGTGATTGATTTAGACCACCTGTACCACCTGTGCATAAGCGGTGCTATAGGCATTTTAGCAGACAAATAGCAGGCGGTTAGCACATGCTTTGTACTTCTTAAGAGGTTGCTATGACTATGCTACATGTTTCAGAGAAATGAGCAATCCTCAAGGACTCTGTTAATAAATACCTCAGCAGTAGAATCACACAAATTACAGGGACTGTGGAGAACAATTGTTTTGCCAAAGCCAAATGGAATATGTTCAGTTCAAAACTTTTTCCTTCTCGCTATACTGTTAACAATGTGTACTTTTGAAGTGGCCCTGATTAACTTGCAGGGGATATTCCATTTCAATAGTGAACGCTGTCTGTGAAAGCGAAACATGACCAATTTTTCTAATGCAGTGAGAAGGAAAAAGAAAAACACTCTGCTTTTAAGGGAAAACAAATCTCAGGGCACCAGGAATTTGTTTCTTTCTTTTTCCTAAGTAACTAAAGAGTCTGATATTTTTCCAATTTTTGTTCCTTTGTTATGCACTGTAAATCTGGCTTCTGACTGCCTCCTATTCTTGATATATTAAACCAGTGCTTCCCAACCAGTGCTTCAGTACCCAAAACAGCTTATCAGAAAGTCTTTTTTAGGTAAAACATTTCAAGTCACTTTAAATGTCCCTATTGTGATTGGTTAATGGGTTTGTGTGTCATTACCAACAGAAAAACCACTTTGACCCAATTTTGGGTAATTTACTCAAGTTTGGAAGCATTCTGTGAAGCCCTCTCTGGTTCCCCCCCCCCTTTTTCCCCCCCTGTCAAACAGTTTTTATCTTATGGGGTCCTTAATGCTCTCTGAGGTTGATTATTTTCTTGCAGTCGTTTCATTACTCAGTTGGGTAACATCTTCAATACACTGATAATATGACGTAGTTGGGTAATGAAATGTCTACAAGGAAACAACCATCCTGAGAGAGAACCACAGACCCCACAGTTAAACCCTGAGCTACAAGTATTCCCTTCTATTAAATTTAGGTTAATTAAATAGGTTAGTTAGCTCAAAATGGCTGGGGAAGAGCTATGCAGAGATTCATAGGAAAAGCAGGCAAAAGCCAAGCAAAGATTGAAGGGAAATTGGCCACTCTGTGGACTCCTTAATGTTAATAAGATAAAGATTTATTTTCCAGCTGGTCAATTCTGCTTGGTGAGAATGAGAAAATGTTTCTATTCTAGAGCAGGATTCTGATTTTCTTCCAAGGGTAATAATTATGTATTTATTACCATAAATAATGTTTCTTTTGTCTTTCTGTCATGTTTTCTTTGGAATAAATTTTAAAATTTGTTGACAGTTTGATCTAGTGGTTTAAGGCATCAGACTAGAAACTAGGAAACTCTGAGTTCTAGTCCTCCCTTAGGCTGAGTGACCTTGAGCCAGTCACTCTCTCTCATCCCAAGCCACCGTGTCACAGGGTTGTTGTTATGGAGGAAATAGGAGGAGGAAAAAGTATTAGGTGTATTTACCACCTTTAGTTATTTATATAAACAATAATGGTGGGATAAAAAAATGGGCCAGTCTCTTGCATCCCGTATACACAGTGCCTTCCTTCAGATCACTGTGCCCTATTCAGTGAACACTAAAGGCAAAAGATGGATATGCCAGATGCTGCAGATGTGCAGACAACTGGATTTGTGAATTTCTAGCCAAACAGACCAGTGGTAAATATGCATTCATGAACAGGTGATTCTTATGGATAAAAGTGGGTTAAAACCTATGTGGATATTTGGTGGTGGCGCAGTGGTTAGAATACAATATTGTAGGCTAATTGTGCCGACTGCCAGCAGTTTGATTCTTACCGACTCTGGGTTGACTCAGTCTTCCATCCAGGGGTGGGATTCAAATTTTTTAACAAGCGGTTCTGTGGGCGTGGCTTAGTTGGTGGGCATGGCTTGGTGGTCATGTGACTGGCTGGGCATGGCCAACTCAATATCACTTACATCGAGGCACACATTTCCTCACCTGGCCTCTCATGACTGTGGGGATGCTGCAACAGTCGTAAGTGTGAAAAATGGTCATGTCACTTTTTTCAGTGCCATTGTAACTTTGAATGGTCACTCCACACAAGCAAAGTACCAGCAAAGGAGGGGGAAAAAACTCCAGAGACGTTCCTGAGACAGGAAGTCTAGTCCTGCCAAGAATGTAATAAGGGTTAACGGAAAGGCAGTTTCTGTAAGCAACACCAGAATGTTTCCTTCCTGCCTTCCTTACAGATAAGGCCAGTAATTTCTTCTAACAACCGGTCCTCTGAACTGCTTAGAATGTTAACAACCGGTTCTAGAAAATAGGTGCAAACCTGTAGAATTCCACCCCTGCTTCCATCCTTCCAAGGTCGGTAAAAATGAAGACCTAAATTGTTGGGGGCAATATGCTGGCTTTGTGGTATATAACTCTTAAATGCTATTGTTATTGCTATGTTTCCTGCATCAATCCAGTACAGCTGGGAGGAAGGAGCAATTCATAACAAACTTCATTACTGCACTCCTCCATCTCCTTAATTTTCTTACCTGGCCCTTCTGACCCTAGGTGGGAATGAGAGCTGCCAGACAAGCACAATGTAATATAGCACAATGGAATGTAATATAAAACATTTAAAACAGAGACCATTGGATTGTATCAAATAATACATTCCTGCTGGTTATTACACCTGCCCTTTGAGAGAGAAATACATTGGTTTATTCCATTTTTTGTACAAGTGATTTTGATTTTTGTTGTAGGCATTGTTCCTTAATTTTGTTCAGTCTGTTGTTATTTTTTGTTAAAGTTTTCATTTATTTATTGGGTTTTCTTAGTTTGAGGCAGCAGGATTGTAAGACAGCGGACTCTTTATTTCAAATGGCATTTTAACCTAGCAAAACAAAACTAATTAATTAAATAACCCAATATAACAACCCTGTCAGAGGAGCCAGTTCAAAATCATTTACTAACTTGAGATGGAATATCTGTTTCTCAGGTGAATGGATAGGGTTTCAACATGAGCTCAAAATAAGTAATGCTCTTTTGTTACATACAAGGATTGTAGCCCGTGAGTACTATGGCAACAGCTCTAGTTTCCAAAAGCAAGAGAGAAATATTTTAAGTGTACTGACTTTAAAAGTTTAATGAGAGTGGTTGTTATATGATATCACTTCTTTTCTCCTATATGCAGTTCACTCTCTCCTTGATTCTTTACAAACAGGTGTTAATTTTGGTTGATTATTGTTGTAGCAATAGCATTGCACAAGGTGTTAAGATGAGTTATGTGCAATTAAAATAAACACCCCCTCCTAATATTTTTATAAATGATAAATATATATTTGTCCTAGGAACCAAGAGATTCTTTTATGTACAATCTGGTGAACTCTATAAAAATTAATTCCCTTTACCTCTCGGCGTGAAAAGATGTAGATCTCTTTGCGGCTAGAGGTGTTCAACCAAGAATTAGAAGTGCAGCAATTGACTTAGTTGAAGCTGTTGAGGCCCAGCATACAACTTTGCCTTTGCACTCCATTCCAGCAACAGTTTATATTAAGCAAAGAGCCAGTGATGAGAGATGAATGCTGATAATGATGTTCCCTCCCCTGTGTTTTGTTTTGTGCTTGTCTACTTTGACACAGATGCTCTTCTTTTACAGACTCAGCTAAACCTGCTTCTGGAAAAGCTTCGTAGCACTGTAAGTAAATAGTCATGGAAAATCGGTGCAAGGTCTCATCTATTTTTATATTTTTGCACTAGGTCTGTTAATAAAATAAACCCTGGATTTGTTGTACTAATGCAAGGATGGAGATCTGTTAAAGCCAGGGCATCAGTTAAATTTGAACAGAATTTTACACATGAGCATTTTGCATATTTGACTTTTTTTATGCAGGGAACAGATGGGAACTGTCACAGCCAGCATATTTAGCTTTAAGAGTAATCTTGGCTAAATCCATGTATTATGGGAACCCTTTATTATTTTACAGGTATAGAATCATGTAGTCAATTCATCAGTGATTCTGCATTACACCGAAGAATAAGGGAAACATGCTTGCAGGAAACTGTCTAATATATATAAATAAGAACTAGAGAGAGATTGGAGCCCTTTGGGGTCAGTAGTTTACTTGTACTCCTTAACATAAACAATTGATATGTATAAATCAAGGGTCTTCAAACTTGGCAAGTTTAAGACTTGTGGACTTCAACTCTCAGAATTCCTGAGCTAAGATGACTAGAAGAGGAATTATGCGAGTTGAAGTGCACAAGTCTTAAAGCTGTCAAGTTTGAAGACCCCTAATATAAATTGTTACCAAGTAAATGTTAGATGAAGAATTAAAAACTTGCAGATGGAAGATGACATATAACCCGGCAACTCTTCTTTACAATCCCCTGTGAGCTTCCACAGTGGGACTAAAACAATAAATTCAGCCCTTTTTGTATGTTTGTAATGATTTAAGAAATAAAATGAGTGCATTTTATTTTGTGCACTTGCTCAGTTTTGGAATGCTGTGCTTCATATGACACACTAAGCCTTGTATGGGGCCTCAATCCAACAGATTTTCCCTGCTACTGAACTAGAGGAAGTTCTTGCTAGTCTGTGGTCCTTGATGAAATGTGCAGGATAGCCAAAGGATGATGCAGAAGCACTATTCTAGCCAATCCTCTGCATTTTGCTTCCAGTTCCAGAGGCTAAATGTCAAATCAGCCATGGTTCTGAATTCATTGTAGCCAATTTATGCTGGCTTAGGAATTCTGGGAGTTGAAGCCCAGAGGTCATAAAAGTGCCATAGTTGCCCACCTTGGGTTTAGAGCTCTAGGTATATAGATTTTCCCCTCTTTCCTCCTTTTGCTTCCCTTTTAAATGGCTTTGAATAGGTAATTGCAATTAATTTTTTGTATCCCTCCAAATGAAATTGATTCGTCATGCATTTCTCCACATTCAAACAAAAAAAAAAATTAGTTAAGCATGAACTGAGCTCCTAATCTGCCTACTGTGGGCACAATACTCCCGGCCCTCCTTTCTAAATCTCCATGGCCTGATGATGATGACCCTAGCATAGTAGCCATCTTTCTTCCTGTCAGCATTAGTACGCTACTAGTGCAAGTATTAGAAACCTTAGAACACCTGATTTTCCCAAGACTCTTGACTTCTTTGTGTAGAGATCTGAGTAGACATTGTGTAGACATCTGAGAAGTTCAATGTTTCTGCTAGGTACTAAGCTTGGTATGAATTGAATGTTATTGATGGTCTTATGGAAAGACAATCTCTGTGCACAAGCTTTCACACAATATTTATAGAGGTTTAAAAACGATGTCTTTGGGGCAGAGTTAAATATTTCAACATATTTATTGCTTCTGAGTTTATTAAAAAAAAGAGATGGAGAGACAATATAAATATATAAAAGAAAAAATACCCACTGGAGGGACTAGATAGGAGTATTGTGAGAGGAGTTATCTATAGCAGGGGTCCCCAACCACCGGTCCGTGGACCGGTACCGGTCCGTGGAACAAGTCCTACCGGGCCGCTGGCTTGCTGGGTGCCGCCATCTTGTTTTGATGAAAAAGTGTTTCCGGTGAGCTTTTCCGGGTAGAAAGCTCACCGGAAGCACTTTTTCATCAAAACAAGATGGCGGCGCCCAGCTGATGTTGGTACCGGGCCGCGCCATAAAAAAGATTGGGGATACCGGGCCGTGGCGTAAAAAAGGTTGGGGATCACTGATCTATAGCACCCTTTTCAAGTATTCTTAATCATGATTATGCTAATTTTCTGCTTTTACAATAGGGGTCAAGCTTTATTCGATGCATCAAACCGAATCTAAAGATGACCAGTCACCAATTTGAAGGTGCTCAAATCCTCTCCCAGCTTCAATGTTCAGGTAATTTAGTGTATCTTCTAAAGACGATACGTTAGATCTCTAATAATATTCAAATGAGGATTCTGGCAAAACTGAATTGCAGAGCTTTGTATAAGAGTTTTTCAGTCAGAAAAAAGAGTGATCTTTTTCAGTGCTCTGTTGTTGTGAAATTATTCTGCAAAATAATCTGTAGATAGTACTGTATTGACTGTTAAAAGATTTTTAAAAATAAACTTAATAAACTTCACAAACTTTCAAGGCAAAAAAATAATGTGGTATTCTATGTACTTAAAATGTAATTTATTTAGAAATATGTGAAAGCCATCAGGAAGATCAAAACCCGTCCAAATGCCTACAACCCAAAGGAAACTGAACATCCTATTTTGCTGAACATATAAGAGCAGTGCATCATCGAGTTAGGAAGATACCATCTTTCCGTCATCATTGAGCTGTTGCCTTCTCCACCGCCATTCAATAGTATCAATATATTAGCTATTTTTAAATTATTGTGGTAGAATGTTCTTAGTAAAGTTCAGGTGTTCATTTAATCCCTCTCCTTCCACCAAAAGAAAAATAAAATAATGGTACCTTGTAGGTGAGAATTGTACAAGTTGGTTTAGATCAGAATCCAGAGTGGATTCTGATGAGTGGCAAAGCCAGGACAAAGTTTCCATTGGCTCTGGGATACTCAAATACTCCCCCCCACCCCGCCAGTATTGTACTATTCCTATAGTGTGTTATAGGACTAGAACAACTTAAACAATTAATAGGAGATGATATCTATCCAGTCTATTCCTTCTATCTCCTCCTCCTCTTCCCAGCTGAGAGATCTGGAAGGTGTTCAAGTGTTCTTGTTGACATAACAGAACTAGATGACATTAATATGTAATTTAAGGATGGTTAACTGACAGAAGTAATTAACTGACAGAAGTAACAACTTCACAGAGCTGGTTTTGAAGTAGATGATTCTAATTGTCCTGAAATAAGCCTTATTTGAAGCTAACCCGTTTGTTTTTATTAGCTGCTATCCTAGTATTTCTATTAATTTCTTTATAATGTTTTCATCCCAGAAGGCTTTTAGTCTTCAAGCATCTGTTCAACTTGGCAAACATTCCTATTGCTTGTCACGTCAAGTTATGTTTAAACTTTAATTTAGCAAATCAGAAATCCTTAACATCTTCACTTAATTAGTGTTTTGTTGACTCAATTTTTGGCTGATCATCTGAAGACTGGATATTCTGAGCAAAATTGTAGAAAAGGAGACAATGAAAGTAATGAAGTTCCTTCCCTCTGTCTTAAACATGAATTACATTATTTTTTAAACTATAAGTTTTATTAAGGATTTAAATTACAGTAATAATAACAAAAACAAACTAAATGTAGAAAAAGAGAATGAAAACAAAGAAAAATGTAAAAAAGAGAAAAAGAAGAAAGAAAAGAGAGACTAAAGAAAAAGAAAAGAAATAAAGGAGTTATTAAAACCTTCATCACAACAAGAATAAACAAATGTAATAATTCTTCACTCCCTTAAGGGGTTAAATAGATATATCTTCATCCCATATCTCATTCCTTATTATAAATCCATAAAACATCAACTTTCCAATCCTCATGTCAGCCAAAAGTCCACAAAGAGTTGCCAGAACATTGCACACACACACACAAAAAGTCGATGAATTACATTATTCTTCATCTAGTTTTTATTCATTTTTTCTGATTTAGAAGTGAAAATAAGGTTTTATTTATTTGTTTGCCTTTTACTCCATCAATTTTTGGTGAAACTAGTTGAAAAAGATTAGGTCTAATATTTGGAAAGGTCAACACAGACTCAGTCTTGATTTTAATTCAAACTTGAAGCTCATTTTCCATCTTCAGTGACTTCAATGACTTTATAAGGGCTTGTGTTTCTTGTTTTAGCTATTTTTTAAAAATATTTACACCAATCTCAAAATATAAAGACTGACAACCACGTTGTCTTAATTTAGTGGTGATTCTTTTGTTACCTGTCTTTTGACTGGTTTAACATTTTTATTGAATTATAAAGTATTATAAAATACAAAATACAAAAACAAATAAAAAACCAGTGGGAGGGGGAGGGAAGAGGGGGAAGAGAAGTGAGGAAAGGTAAAAAAAAAAAGAAAAAGAAGCATTGATTTCTGTCTCTGTTACTATAAAATAAGGCATTAACATCAAATCACAACTTTTTGCTTTTTCATAATGATATGAACAAGCCATTTCTATAAAAATCTATCAGTCTAATCTGTAAAACCGAAAATCAAAGTGGTCTCCACATGGAAACAAAAATACTTATGTTCTTCTTTATTCAAAATGATCAATTTTTGCCATTTCAGCCAATTCCATCAACTTCTGCAACCATTCGTCATCCATAGTAGGAATCGAAGTGTCCTTCTATTTTTGTGTTTACAATGGTCTTGCTGCTGTCAACATATATAATAACAAAGTTCCAATTTTTTTCTCCAGTTCTTTTTCCATTAGGCCCAAAAGGAAAAGTTGTGGTTTCATTTTTATCTCCATTTTCAAAATTTTCTGTATTAAAATATGAATCGTACTCCAAAATTTTTGCTTTATCATATGTCCATCATAGATAATAAAAAGTCCCCTCTTTACTTTTACCCTTCCAACATTCATTTGACATGACGTTATACATCTTAGACAACTTATCTGATGTTATTTTGTTGCCTGTCTTTTACTGTAGGCATGGTGTCTGTTTTGGACTTGATGCAAGGTGGTTTCCCATCACGAGCTTCATTCCATGAACTTTATAACATGTATAAAAAATATATGCCTGCCAAACTGACCCGTCTAGATCCGAGACTCTTTTGCAAGGTATTTATATTCAGAATGCAAATGCTTTTTTATCTGTGCCTTTTTCATGGTGGGTTGATATTCACAGATACTTTCCTTCCTTCAAAGGATTTGTAAAACTGTCTTTTTTTTTTCCTCTTCCGTTCAGGCTCTCTTCAAAGCCCTTGGCTTAAATGAACAAGATTATAAATTTGGATTAACCAAGGTGTTCTTTAGACCTGGCAAGGTAAGCAGTGTTGATATCTCTGAAGTATAAATGAACACAAATTGAGTTTTTAAAAATTAATCTCTTCAACTTGCCTGCAAAATAATTGAGATAAAGGATAGCATTACCTTTCTTGAAAGAAATTTCATAAGATGATGCGTTGTCATCTAATCTTTGCTAGCATCTGTATTAACATGGCCATCTCTATGGTTAATGTATTGGTAGAAAATATTTTTATAGCTCTACCTGTGCTAAGAATGGTATTTCCTGTGCTCTGTGTGATGATTAACCTCCCTATAATCATTTACTATGACTGTATTCTCTAAAAGGCAGATAAATAAGACTTTTTTTAAATTGCTTCAGTCCTGTGCTTTAACTTCATTGCTAGCTTAAAGTTGAGTGGAGGCCCTCTATATTACTATCAGAATAAGTAGTCACAATTTGTACTGTGTCACAGATACATAAAAATAGGCAGATTCCGGATGTTATTAAGAATCATGCCTAGGGTTCAGAACCTCATGGCAATCACAGGAGTCTCTACACATTGTCATGACTGCAACATTCTGTTTACAACAGAACTCTCCATCTGTCAACATTCTTGTTGGTTGTCTTAAATGGCATTTCCTCCCCACCCCCGTGTTCAGTTTGCAGAATTTGATCAAATCATGAAGTCTGATCCAGATCATCTTGCTGACCTGATTAAACGTGTGAACCACTGGCTTCTCTGCAGCCGTTGGAAGAAGGTTCAGTGGTGTTCTTTATCAGTTATCAAATGTAGGTATTCAAAAATATCTTGTAAGATGGGACGATAGGAGGAGGATCACCACTGAGCCATGATGGTGCAGTGGTTAGAATGCAGTATTGCAGGCTAATTCTGCCAAATGCAGCAGCTCAATCCCGACCAGCTCAAGGTTGAATCAGCCTTCCATCCTTCTGAGGTCGGTAAAATTAGGACCCAGATTGTTTGGGGCAATATGCTGACTCTATAACTGCTTAGAAAGGGCTGTAAAGCACCATGAAACAGTATATAAGTCTAAGTGCTATTGCTATTTCTATCACGTGAGCAAAATTTTAAAAACTACCCACAACTATGTCTTTTTAAACTTACTTGGAAGACTAGAATATTTTATTTTAATAAAGAAATGGCTGAAATGTTGTGATTATCAAAAATCACAGCAATTTAGGAATATTAATCTTGATTGTGTACTTGTGCAATAATATTGAAAGTTATGCCCTTTCCTGAAATCCCACAAGATTTCAGAGGAACACCAATGTTTTTCAAGATCTTGTGAGATTTTGTCAATTCATTTTTTTAAAAAAATCCTGTGGGTTTACAGGTACAATATAGGAGTCCACATGCATTATTTAAGAGATTGCTGCCAAAATTGTGAAAATGCTATTAATCAAGTCAAATATTAAAATGGAAGAGTTTCTTGACTCTTCAGTTCCAGTTAGGTTTTTATTAAAAAAAAAGTATTGAGAATTGAGCCATGAGTCTCACTGACACAAGAATTGTTAGCAACTCTTGCATATTAATCATATATAAAAGAAGGAAATAGTATCCGCTAGTATAAAATATATCTAACTCTGTCTCTGTCTGCTTGTCTGCCTGTCTGTCTAGGTATTCATCCATCCATCCATCCATTCCCCCCATTCTGTATTTAGACATTTGTTGATGAGATTTCCCTCACTTTTTCCTCCATTTATTTTCAGTGAAAAACAAAATCAAGTACAGAGCAAGTGCCTGTATTAAAATACAAAAGACAATTCGTATGTGGCTATGCAAGAGAAAGCATCAACCACGGTAAGAAGAAGACCTATGTAAATACTCACTGTGTCCTATTTGCTAGTAAATCTCATGAGGTGCTGAATAGTAATGGGAAGGATTCCCAGGCACTCATACACCTGAACTCATAATATGACATTAATGCAGTCACAATTTGTGGAAACTGGTATCAAAGGACCAGACCTCGAGTTTACTTGGGCAGGATATTGCCTTATCTTCTCTTTCAAAGTTTCTGCTTAGAAATAATGTAGATAGTCAAGTCTTTCCATTTTTGCTGTTAGTGTCTCTTTATCCACCAGTGGCGAGTCCCTCTGGGCCACAAAGAGGAAAACCACAGCATTCCTAGCCTTGCTTACGTGGCAAAATAGTTTTGCATATTCACATAGGATGGCATATCCCAAAATGTATGCCAAAGCAACTGTTCTGATACAGAGGCTAGCAGTGCTATCCTCATTCACATAAAAGAGTTGGAAGGAGAGAGGAGAAGAGGAGAGACAACATGATCTAATTGTTCTGATAGAATCAACTGAACAGATCTGTTGCATCCACTAGTAAGAAACTGGAGTTTCCCATCACGGATGGGATGGGAAACTCACTGGAGTTTCTTACTGAATTGAGAAAAAAATAAGTCCATGTATTATTGACATTCCAATTGTGCCATCCATCATATTGACCCTCCTAGTTTTTCAGTACTAGAAGAGTTTAATTTCCAGACCCTGAAGTTGGGAGCCTTCATGGCAATCATGTACCTATGCAGCAGAACACATATAATGTAATCATTTGTGCACAACATAATTTTAAATGTATTTATTTCTTTGATGTTTGTGAGAGTTTCCAAAGCTATTTGTCCATATTTTTTATTCCAAATTTTAATTGCAACACAGACTAAATGGATAATATGAGGCCCATTGTAATCCAACTAATATGACTTCATTCAGAAGCAGTTTGATGGCCCAAAGTTTGAACAATAGCTGTCTGTTCTGTTATCTCCCTCTCATATCTAAAATATTAACATTCCTTTCACAGCATAGATGGTTTAATAAAGCTTCGCACACTGAAAGAGCGGCTATATAAATTCAATGAAGTAGTAACTGCTCTGAAAGAGGGAAAGGCAGAAATGAGCAAGCAGGTCAAGGAACTTGAGATGTCCATTGATGCTCTGATGGCCAAGATCAAGGTAGGAGGATCCTTTATGCTGTAGAAAAAAAAAACTTTGTATCAAGATCTGGCAGAGGTCCTTGATTCCAGTGTGCATGACCAAAAGAGAGACCATGGAAATATCTTGGACAGTTGAAGACCAATATCTGTAGGATACCAAGTTGAATTCCAGCTGTAACATTTCAAACTCTAATTGTTGTTTTATTTTCTTTTGCTATTTTGACAATCCAAAACTTTTAATGCTGATAGAATTGGAACATGACATCGTGCTTTTTTTGTTAAAGGCATATTACCACTTGTTTTATAGAGGGCTATAAAGCAGTATATAAGTCTAAGTGCTATTGCTATTCAGTCAATTTTCTATCACTTGGACTTTTTTCCCACCATGGGTTAGATGAGAATGTAGAGATTTTCCCCACATAAGAGACTTTAAAACTTTAATCAACGATGTTCTAGCATTTCAAATGTTGACACATGTTGCTTTACATGCTTTCAAACCAGTGCTGGTATTCTACCGGTTCAGCCCGGTTCCAGCGAACCAGTAGTAAAAAATGCTACTGTTCAGCTGAACCGGTAGTAGAAAAAGAGCCAGCGGTTCAAGAGAACCAGTATTTCTTTTTTTCCTCCTGACGATCAGCTGTTCCCATGATCAGCTGTGCCGGGATCCCCCTCGTTATCTTAGTGCTTTTTGGGGGGGGGCCTCCTTGGGCCCCAGGGAGGCCTCCGGGGAGCAAAAACAGCCTCCCAGGAGGCTTCTCTCAGGCCCAGGAGGGGGAAAAAAAGAGCGTGGTGTGTGTATGTGTGCTGCAAGGAAAGCCACTCCCACTCAGTCACATGGCCAGTCCCACCTAGCCACTCCCACCTAGCCATGCCCACAGAACCGGTAGTAAAAATATTTGCATCCCACCCCTGTTTCAAAAACATATCTTCTATCAAAAAGGCAAGTGACCTGAAAGCCATTTTTAAGGGACATTTTTCAAGGACTGGACACAAATCCCATTTTATCCCTTTACAATTTGATGGTATAGACACAACACTTTTTAGTACAAGACCGAAGGTGTAGACTTGGGTTTAACAGATCTTAATTATACTTTGCTATATTCAACATTCATGCTGAACAGTGTGCACTATACCAGGGAGTTGCTTGTAGATGGAAGTATAAGGTTTATCAAATCAAAATAGGTGGGCAAAGTTTAGGAGAACCTTAACACATCCATTTTGCTGCTTTGATGGAGAGACATAGTTCCCGTATTCTTGCTATGGTTCATTTTCTTTCTGTCTTGCTTTTTAAAACTACATGATATGTGCAAATTATTGTGATTGTTTTTATGACTTATTTTACAGGCCACTGTCATGCCTAGACAACAGATTCAGAAGGAATATGATGCCCTAGTGAAAAGCTCTGAGAAACTTTTGAGTGCCCTTCAGAAAAAGAAGCAGCAAGAGGAGGAAGCCGAAAGATTGAGACGTATCCAACAAGAAATGGAGAAAGAAAGGAAGAGGCGTGAGGAAGAGGAACTGCGTCGGAAGAAGGAAGAGGAAGAAAGGCGACTGTGAGTGTGAAATAATCTAAATAGTGAGTGGTAGAAGCAAAGGCAAATGCCAAGCACCAGAGAACTCAGCAGATTCAGGCTCAATATTCTCAAATGAGTATACAAATTTATTGCACGCTCTCTACAAGAATCTGGCCAACTAGTTGTCGAGGGAAATGAGTAGAAGATAAGATAGGCATTCATGGTAGGCTGGACTTAGATCTCTTGTGAGTGTGCAGGGACTCATGGTTTATGACACATTTGATGCCTCTCTCAGGCTCAGTTTGGTCATCTCTGACATCAACTTTTTAAACAAAAGCTATATTTTGGAAGTGACTGCTGTTTCTGAGCAGAAACAGAGTTCTGTTACAAAGGGGAAAAAATAAAATGTGTGGGAAAGTGAGTGAAACGGTTTTAATGTGTGTCTGTACCTAATGGGCTTTCAATTTTTCCCACCTAGGAAATACGAGATTGAAGCAAAGAGAAAACTGGGAGAAGAAGAAAGGAAAAAGAGAGAGGACGAAGAAAGAAGAATTCAGGTGAAGTTGAATAGATGTTTCTTGTGCTGCATTTTCCAGACCTTGATCCACAGATAGAATAGGCTATGCAGGTGCATGGGATGTAGTAACTTGGGTCTCTTCTGATTCCCACAGGGATCTTAAACTCATCCTACTATAATTATGTTGCATTCTCTCCACAACTTTTTGGATGACCCAACTAGACATATTGCCACCAACTACTTTACTCCAGAGAAATTTGATCTGCTGCAAATTTATTAGGGAGAGGAAAGTGGCAATCTCTTTAGATATATATGTTATTAATTATAAATTATAAAATCTAAGAGGGAATGGGCAGAATTCAATGCTGTTAGTGTTTACTTAATGATTAATACATATAGTGCCAACAATTGAAGAACATTAATTATCACCTGAACCTCATTTTTTTTGTTTCTTGCCCAGGGAGTTTTGTTGTCAGTCATATATGTCTTGGTATAGAAATCTGTAAAACATGCTTTGCCAAACTTGGGCAATAACTTTTTAGTAGACTTCCTTCCGGTCTCAGCAGCAAAGCAGATGTTCCTTTCTGTAGAGTTTTCTCTCAGGCCATATTTAGTCAGCTTTTCTTTTGATGAATGCTGCACTGAGTAATCTAAAACAGATCTACATAAGAAAACATCCATAGCAGAAAGAAAGATTGCATGGCAATATCATGATCAGAATAAATGATGATGCTAGGTCATTGTGCTAGGATAGGGGAATAACTTCATGGATTTGCTCTTCAAAAAAGAAAGTTCAAGTGAAATTTTCAGAATGTATCAGCATTAATGCATTGAAATATGATTACTTGAGTCTTAAGCTGTCAGTTTCATAATTTCCATAAGATGTACAAAGTTCATGTATTAGAAGTAGAAGCCTGTAGAACACTACAATATTCTCTACAATTTTATCACTTAAGCCAATTAAATATATCATCTTAGAATGAATCTGTCTTTCGCTACAATAAAAACATTTCCCTTGAGCTTCCATTGTGGAACTAGACCACAGAACTTATTTCTCAGGCTAAGGGTATGAGATGGCCCTGAGGTAATGCCATAGTCAGCATAATCATATTCCTTAGGCATGTGTTGATAGGATTATTTTAAAGTAGAGGATGGATGGGTGCGTGCCCAGTGATATTATCAGAGTTGTGTTAGGCTCGCCCCTTTGCCTAACAGCAGCACCTGATTGGTTCAGCTGCCCAGTGCTTAGAACCTATTCCTGTTATGGCTTCAGCAATATTGGTTAGTCTGCCAGGACAATATTTTTATAGTCCAATCAACAATAACAAAACTAAAGTTGCTGTTCTGCTCCCTTCAGATCTCATGGTACTTCTTCCTTGATTTGTTATATAGACATATATTCTGGGAGTGTGTCATGCACTTCTATCAATATCATAATCAGAAGCTATCAGAATAACAAGAGTTGGGTGGGACCTTGAAAGCCTTGTAGCCCAAACCCCCTGCTCAAATAGGAGTCTATACCAGTCCAGACAAATGACTCTTCAGTTTCTGATAAGTGATGAAGCCGTCATTCTTAACAACTAAACTCACAGGTGTTTGGAATTTTTCTTTTAAACAAAGGCATTATTTTGGTTTTCAATATGCAGTTCCAATTCATTCCTGCATTAAGAGTTTGCTTCTATTCCTTCTTGTTAATTGTAAATTTTAATCTGCTTTATTAAAAATCAATTTTCTGAGTAAGGCTCTAGGAACTGCAGCCTTAAAGGATTTAATTCTCTCATCTTTCAGTAGCTCTGCTTATTTATCTACCTCACTGGACTTAGGGATTTTAATTATTATCAAAAGTAGTGAGCTGAGTTAGAGTCTACTTACCACTCCAAAAAAAGTATTTAGCTAATAACTGTGTTACTTTTCAGCAGCTTTCCAGAGGTGGACCAACATACAGGAAAACATTAAAAAATTTGAGCCAAGATATTTATTTATTTAGCCAAATAGATGTTACAATAGCAATAATCAGAATAACAAATATAATCAAAAATACAGTATTAACAAAAGCTACAGCTTAAGATAAATTTAAAAATATTTTGAGATATTGACCATCTGATAATTTATAATTTATGAATGATTCAGGTAGTCCTCAAATTATGAGGACAATAAATGAGCCCAAAATTTATGTTGCTAAGTGAAACATTTGTTAGGTGAGTTTGCCCCATTTTACAACTTTTCTTGCCACAGCTGTTAAGTGAATAATTGCATTTGTTAAATTAGTAACGTGGTCGTTAAGTGAATCTGGATTCCTCATTGACTTTACTGATCAGAAGGTTGCAAAAGGGGATCACATGACCTTGGGACAAAGCAATGGTCATAAGTAAGAGTCAGTTGCCAAGCATCTGAATGTTGATCATGTGACCATGGGGACACTGCAATGGTCATGTGAAAAACGGTCAGAAGTCTCTCTTTTTTCAGTGCCGTTGTTAATGGTCACTACAACGAATTGTTGTACGTTGAGGACTACCTGTACAGAATAATCTCTTCTCCATCTATGGCTCTGCAATCAAGGCTGTTTCTGATACAGCTAGTCTAATTTATGGTTTGTAATGCAATTTTAAGTATCAGCCAGACTGAACTTCTTATAGTTTTCTATCTTTTAGATTAAATTAGTTTAGGGCAAACTAAGAGGCTCCTATCTAAAGAAGTCTTAGTGCCTGGCCAACTTGTTTGAGGTTGGGAAATTTAGTCGTTAGTATTCAGAGAGGAGACATCCAAGGAACTGCAGGGAATGCAAGGCTATAATACAAAATAAAAGGAAAAACAAGACAATGGCAGATTATCTTCATGAAGTTTTTGTTTTCTTTTTAATAAAGAAGTTAAAATTAACTTGAATGACATTTTACCTTTTAGGATTGTTTGAACCTTAGTTTGCTTAATCTATTGATTGTAATGAATTATGACTGAATAGCAGTAACCATTTGCACATAATTGGGTTAGATTGTAATTGCAAACCACAAAGTGGTACTTCTTAATTCAGAGTACTAGTTCCAAAAATCCTAGCTGGCATGGCTTCTAGCATGCTGTATTGGATCTAGCTGGACAGTCCTTCTGTTGTATCAGTGAAAAAATAGATATTTCAGTTAAATTATATTTTTCATGGCTCTGCAGGTTGAAGTTGAGGCTCAGCTGGCCAGAGAACGCGAAGAGGCGAGTCAGCATCAAGCCGTTCTCGAACAAGAGCGCAGAGATCACGAGCTGGCTTTGCGAATTGCTCAAAGTGAATCTGAGCTCATCAACGATGAGGCTCAGCTGGACCCAAGTTTGCGCAGGTATTGTACTTTATCAGTGATACTGCTGGAAAAAGCAATTGTGTAATAAGTTGTATAATAATAATGATGACGATAACGAGAACACTAATTAAATTAAGGTAACATGATGCTGCATATCTTCCTGTATTTGAACACTCATAATCTGGAGGCTACTCTACCCCACAGCTTTCCTCAACTTTCTGCCAAACAATTATGTTGGGGTTGCAGTTCCTCAGATTCCCAGCAAGGATAGCTTTTAGCCATTGCTGTAAGCAATTCTGAATATTGTGGTTTGTCTTTCAGAATATCTGGAGGGTGCCAATATGGGGAAGCTACTATAATGTTAGCTAGGCATCTGAACTAGCTATCCTCTGTCAAAGATTTGGGAGTATCGTTCAGAGTCCAGTTTCTGAACTTTGTGGAAAGAGGAAAAAAGTAAAAATTATTTTAGGAATTTTGTTATGCCTCTCCATCCCAGTTCGGTCTACATGAGGGATCTTGAAACCTGGCAACTTTCTGAGAATTCTGAAAGTTGAAGTCCACAAGTCTCATAGTTGCCAAGTTTGGTCAGATAGTGTCCTTTGACGCTGTGCTACAAGCAATAAAGGCTACAGTGAAAGGATTTGCCATTTGAAAATTTTCCTGACCCATATTGGTGTGGATTAATTCCATTTTAGTTCCTCATAAATTGTTCTTCAAGAAGAATTAATACTGGGATTCATACATCAAGTTCGGAAGAAAGTTTGGTTATTGAATTAAATCATGTTTGGCTGGATTCGCCCAACATGCATATCAAATCCAAACAGAGCACCTTCTTCGTTAGTGTAATGTGGAAACCTACCTAACATTTAGACTGCTTTACTTATTATTCTTTTTATGCTTGCAACCCTAAAAGACAGGTCAGTGTCATATCAAAAACAAGACAGCATTTTTGCTCAGGGAAAGTTTTTTCTTCCTCCCTCCTTCCCCCTCTCCCTTCCTTCCTGTTTGCCTGGAATAAATCATCTTTCTAGTTTTTAGAAGTTCTTCCAAACACTTGGCATAGGAAGCAGCTTCTTTTTAAGCAGATATATTTATATGGGTATTTATTTTTCTGTTTGGTATGAGTTTGAGTACAATTTTCCCATCATTGAGCTTTGTTTGACGGAACCTATAGCTTGGGATTGAAAGGAGGTGGATTTCAGTGCCTCTATTCTGTGATGTTCATGGTGACACTTCAAGCCAATCCCCTTCTTACAGTGTGAAGTACCTTATGGAATGATTGTGGACCTGTAATGGTGGTGAGAGAAAGGAAAAGTCAATGCATCTATCACTTAACAACCTAAAAAAAGGTTTAACACCACTTGTTGAAACCAGATTCCTGGTGATCTTGCATGAACATCATTTTGTGTCCAGGCTGATCTTGTAATGTTGTACATCAGTGCCTAACTTAGGAGATCTTCAGACTAACCTAAATATGTTCTGTTCGCAGACTCAATGGAGCAAGGTGTCAAATGACCGCGTATGAAAACATTTTTCCCTTTTGGGAAATTCTATAAAAATTGAGAGTGGGAGGGTAAAATTATTCTAATGTTCACTTTAAAAGCAATTTGCAAAATAATTCACTTTATTTTTTCCTAATTAATCATGATTTGAGCATGCAATCAATACACTCCATTTGAGTATCAGTTTACCAGATCAATTATACGTAGGTACAAATGCTTGTGATTTAAATATTGCATACCTAAAAGGTTATACATACAAAGAACTGGTTAATTCAGAGTATTTATTATACTATGTTATCAGTTAATACTGTAAAAATAATGCATTAAATCTTGTATCCTAACTCCCTAACATACATTCCTCATGTTTTTATAGGGAACAAATGGCCAAAGAAATGTCAGAATACCTATCTAGGTGGGTGTAACAGATTGCCAGAAAGAAATCAGTTTAATCACCAAATGTAATAACTATAAGATAAATTAAAAGATAGTTAATTTATAAATTCTATTTAATTCATTTATGTAAAAAATATACATTCTAATCAAGATTCATTCACTGTACCAATTTAGTACCCATTTTCTTTCTAATTCACTATTATATTTATGAATTGCATGAATAGGAATTACTTTTTGATAAAGTTTTGCTATTATTTTGCTCCAGGGACAATTATTCTGATTTCTCTCTCTCTTTTAAACTCGGATGCAACATCAAGCATTCCCAAATTTAGAATTCTGAATTTCCTAGCATTAGATCTTTGCACAGAGAACTAGGTCTTCACATAATGTGTCCATTTGTTTTTTTTCGGAAACTGTTTTTTTTAAAATGAGTCATTTCAGATGACACTTATGATTAGTTTGTAAATTAGTAATTTGCAATCTTAATTTTTCTTTTCTCTTAAATAAGTATGCCTAAGAAGCACGTCATGGATGTTACCAATCTTTGCACCTGTCTTTTTTGATGAGTCCTCGTTTCGGCTTTGCATTCTTGACCTCACTTGTTCCTTTCTGTATTTTTTGTTTCTTTGGATATATTTAGGGGACCTTCAGTTCAAGCTACCAAAGCTGCAGCTGGCATTAAAAAGCATGACCTTAGCAAGTGGAAGTATGCAGACCTGAGAGATACAATCAATACATCTTGTGGTAAGTGTTGTCCTGTTTGGAATGGAGGGAATGTCAGGATACACCAATATTTGGATTGCTTTTCTCTCACAGAGTTTTGAAAGCCTATATAATGAATTGGTACCATTCTTTAAAAAAAACAAAACCAAGGCCTTGGATCACTAAATAATTCTTTATTCAGCTCTAAAGGAGAAAATGCCTTGAGCAAAGTTACTTCAAACAGCTCCATATGTCAAAAGAAAGGAAAGGGTGAAGCATTCAAAAACTAAGCTGCATGTAAGAACCAGCAGGGTTAATTAACTGAATATAATGCAAAGTCATTACATTTTAACTTAATCTAAAATGATTATTGCTAATGACTTTTAAATAGTTTGTTTGTTCTATTGTCAATATCAACTATTTACATTTAAAGTTAAGTGCAATTCATGGACCTGAAAGCTTCCACTGTTTCAGATGTCACTGGGAGTGTTGGAGATAAGAACCTGGAAGACTGCTTTCTGCCCATACAGCTTGTATCAGATGTCCCTAGCTTTTGCAGAGTTGTTTCTAGCAAGCTCAGGATTGACAGATTCAGATTAGCTAAAGAGCCTGTTAAATGCATTGAAGTCTCCTTTCTTCTCCCCAAGCTTGGATACTAGTTCAGATCTTTTAAAAAAGGGGGAAACATGCTGATACTAAATTGGATGTGATATTAAATCTCCTAATTAGGGAAAGATGCCTTATACCTGATCATTAGTTTGTCTAGCCAGTATTATCAAGCTGTCTGGCAGTGGCTTTCCATCCCTCCTTGCAGATGTTGGGGATTACACGGTGGACCTTTTGCAGGCAAAGCAGGTGCTGAGCTACTCAGTTCCAAAATAGGCAGCAATTAGACAGGTAGATTGCCTCACTGAGAGCCATTTTAGTGTAATAAATGCACTGGGGTAGAAACTGTGAGACTAAATTCTAGTCTCAGCTTGGGTACAAAGCCAGCTGGGTGACCTTGAGACAGTTACTTCCCATCAGTCCTAGGAAAAAGACGGTGACAAACCACTTCCAAAAGTCTTGCTAAAAACGCTGCATGGACTTGCCCATGCAGCCCCCAGGAGTCAAGACTGACTCAAAGACATGGACACACACACAGAGAGGCTGCAAAATTGCCTCAGAAAGAAACATACCAACACACACATCATTTTTATTATGAGCGGGAGCCTCAAAAGCTGGAAGAGGCCTTGGTTTTTCTTGATTTCTGAAAGGGCCTCTAAAATAGCAGAACAATCATTAATCAGGTTGAAATTGAGAGCCCCCAAATCCTGATATCTCTATATTGACTTTTTCAGAGCTTGGCAGGGTGTGTTTGTGTGTGGAGGGGGTATTGTAGAAAATCACGAAGCATACATTTTTGTTCGATTTTTCCAACTTCTGAGGCAGCAGCTTTCTCCACACCATGTAACTTAGCGCAGGTCTCATTGGATAGGGATCTAATGGCTATGCTGTCTGTACTTAAACCTTCTTTTCCTCATGTACTGTATATATCAATCCAGCAGGAAGGGAAGGATCAATTGGGCTGAGCTGGAGGCTCAAAGGGAATCTGATATTTAGACAATGTGTGTGCGTGGACATTTAACATCAACCAAGTAAAATAAAGTTTCTGATGTCTCAGAAAGAAACATACCAACATACATATCATTTTGATTATGAGCAAAAGCCTCAAAAGCTGGAAGAGGCCTTGATTTTTCTTGATCTCTGAAAGGGCTTCTGAAATAGCAGAGTAATTAGATACATTTGAAAATAACTAAATGGGTATTTTATGAATGAATATAAGCTTTAGAAATTATCCTTCCATTTTTGTACAAATTACCAGTTTATGCACCCTGTATATATGTGTGTCATGATGTAGATATAAGGAGTGGTGAACTAATTTTTTCCATGTCAACAAATTCATAAACATATTCATCTATCTGCTTTTCTCACTTGTTTCTCACTTATTCCAACCCTGGTGCTTTTCCTGGATCAAAGATATTGAATTGCTGGCAGCTTGCAGAGAGGAGTTTCATAGGCGGCTTAAGGTTTACCATGCTTGGAAGGCCAAGAACAAGAAACGCAATACCGAAATGGAACAGCGGGCTCCCAAATCAGTGACTGATTATGGTAAGGGAAAATCTTAATTTAACCTCTCCTCTTCCCCCATGCACATACAAAAGTGTGTGTATGTGTGTGTGTGGAGGGGAAGTGTCCTTGTGAACAAAAGTACCTAGAGAATATTGAGAATCTTGTTTTTACCGCATTGACTATATTGTCTTACTTTGTTTCGTGAGCAGCTTTCCTAACCCAACAGCATTGGATGGATTGCAGGTTGAGATAGTTTCAGTTCTAGGGTTGAGATAAAAGGCCAGGCTAAATATGATGGATTAGTGAAGGAAGCTAGTAATAGAGACTTGTTATTTACAAAGTATAGCAGTATATTGCTAATAATTAGTGCTTAACTAAGTACCATCCAGTTGTTTGTAGCTTTGTTTTGCTACAACCCAGGTGACTCTTAATTTATTCTTGTCACAATAGTTTAAATAAAGCTCAGGATGGCCATAGAACTTGGCAGGGACCATGGAAAAGGTTTGTGGACACAGTGGCATCCATAATCATTATTGGCCACAGGTGGCACAGAGCATGATCTTCAAACAGAAGAGTGTTTGTTGTAGCGTGTCTAATTCAAATTGTTCCATGTTTTTCAAAGAGGAAGAAGCTGTGCTATTTCAGAAAACCAAATTAAGGAACCATGTGGCTTGTACCAAATAGTATACGGGGCAGCCAGATGGACTTTTCCTAAGAAATGGCTTGACCTTGTACATGTTGCTGAGATAGAGTGAGATTTTGGGGTACAGAGAATTATCTCAAGTGGCTAGATCAGATTGCTCAGATTCTGAGACTGAGTATTGGGAGAATGGGAACCAGGATATAGCATGGATTCTGAGGAATGGATTTGGACTGTTTTTACCCATCTATAAGAGTGGAAAAATCCAAGGCTGATCTGATCCAGCATTCTATCCCCACTTACAGACCTGTAGGAAATCTGAAAGCAGAACAGGAGCAAATAACACATTTTCCTTTATGTTTCTGAAGAACTTTTCTGTACCTGTCAATAGTGGTGTCCCTCAAGGCAGTGTTCTAGGACCAACTCTCTTCATACTCTACATAAATGACCTCTGTGATCATATTAAGAGCAACTGTGTTCTCTTTGCTGATGATGTAAAGCTGTTCAATGCCACAGACAATGCTGCTACCCTTCAAAAAAATCTTGACTATGTATCAGAATGGTCAAACAAATGGCACCTTCAAATTTCAACAAATAAATGCTCTGTCTTACATATTGGCAAAAAAATATATATCAGAAAATAAAATACAAGCTGAATAGTCAAGACCTTGTTGATGATCCAAGCTCTGTAAAGGACCTTGGAATACTCATCTCTAATGATCTAAGTGCTAGAGCCCACTGTAACTACATAGCCAAAAAGGCATTAAGAGTTGTTAACCTAATCCTACGTAGCTTTTTCTCTGGTAATATCACACTACTAACTAGAGCATACAAAACATTTGCTAGACCAATACTCGAATACAGCTCATCAGTCTGGAACCCACATTACGTATCTGATATTAGCACAGTTGAGAAAGTCCAGAAATATTTCACAAGAAGAGTTCTCCACTCCTCTACTCGTTGTAGAATACCTTGTGCCACCAGACTTGAAATTCTAGACCTAGAAAACCTTGAATTACGCCGTCTTCGGTCTGATCTAAGTATGGTATATAAAATCATACATTGCAATGACTTACCTGTCAATGAATACTTCAGCTTCAACCATTACAATACAAGAGCACACAATAGATACAAACTCAAGGTTAACCGCACCAAACTTGATTGTAGGAAATATGACTTCAGCAACAGAGTGGTCAATGTCTGGAATACTCTACCTGTCTCTGTGGTTTCTTCCCCAAACCCCAAAAACTTTAACCTTAGACTGTCTACTATTGACCTCACCCCTTTCCTAAGAGGTCTGCATGTGCACCAACATGCCTACTGTCCCTGTCCTATTGTTTCTTTTATTTTTCTTATATGTACCCATTTCATGTATTCATAACTATGTATATACTTATACCTATTATTTTGTAAGCGATTGACAAATCAAATAAATCAATAAATAAACTACCATTTCAAGTTATATAGATTCTATAATGGATGTAATATGTAGTCATCATATCTAATAGCCCTTGAGATAACAAGAGACCACTTTAGGCATCCAGAAGTAAGTTATTAAGGTTATTGTCTTCCTTTGTAGTTTTTCCTAGATAGCATTACATGTTTTAGGTTGCAATTTATGATGGCATTGTATGTAAATGATGGAATTATTATGCCCCTCCATATTTGAAAAAAGGAAAGAATTCCTTCTTTCTTTAAAAAAAATTAAAGCTCTATTTGCAAATTCTTTTTGTGCTTTGCATCCATTTAGCTAAAAACAGTGCTCTTGTCCTCTTCCATTGGTTTCTTATGTTGAAGCCATCCCAAGGGATGGCCAATAATGGCCATCAAGAGACAACTTATTGGACACCCCAAAAAGGGAGTTTTTCCCATTGATCAATGGACTCATTTTCTCTCGCATGCTCAGTATTAAATTTTGTTTTCAGATTTTGCACCATTTTTGAACAACTCAAGTAAGTGGGGGGATTATTTCATCTAATTTGACAAAGGGGGGAGAAATAGAACCCACTTTACTAACATAATTGTGTTTTGCTACAGTTATATTTGTTTTTTATAAGCATTCATACAGTCTGTTTTAAATATAATTAAAGAATTGTTGGTAAAGACATTGGACAGCAGGAATGTGCACGCTCTTTTAAGAATTTTGGCGTTATTTACAGAAACGAATAATTTATTTCAATAAAAATGTGTATACTGGTTTAATTTTAATTCCTTTCTTCTGCCAAGAGAAAATATTTTCCCCTTGTAGCAAAACATTGAAATTGGTACTAATCAACTAACATTTGGAACAAAACCTAACACTTAGTAACTTGTTTTAGGAGAGAAAATAATTGCCTTTGTTGTGAGGAAAGTGCTTTTCTTCACTATGTTGATTATCTTTTGGGTGAGGGCAGCTGTGCATGAGAATGAGGAAAAAAGACCTCTACAAATCAAGCAAAGAGCTCAAAATGGACACTGTCCTATATGTTAATTCAGGCGGTAGGTAGCCAGTCTCCATTAGCTGCAGAATGCAGCAAGAGGATGTATTGAAAATGATGAATTGCCTGGTGAATTAATTCATCAATTAAAAACTGATTCATTTTTTAAAAACATTTTTAAAAACACATAAAAGTATGTGGACTACTGCTTAAGTTTGTCATGTCAAATGATACATAATTATGACTGAAGGCTGGTTAATATGAAAAAGGTCTTTTTTGCCATTTTCTGTTCATGGATGAGCTGCTTTAATGTCCACTGATATTAATAATGAGAAATATTTTAACAGATATTGCCTTTTACAGCAGGATAAACATTTGCTATTTCTGTATATATAAACACAATTATTTGAACATTTTTTTCTGTTCCAGTAATCTACAACTTATCTAGAAATAAAGAGGGCAAATAAACACATTTGATGTGGCTGTAGCTTCATCCCTCTTTATTCAACCAAAACCAGATTTATTATTTATAATTATTTAGCTTAATTATGTAGTTAAAATTATTCATTATTAATTCCTTCCATAAACTGGAATAGAAAGAAAAGTGTCCTCTCATGAATAACTGAACTGCTTTTTCTGCAATTGTCCACAACAACTTTGCATTTGAAATCTCCTATTTGGAACCTGAAAAGTCAAGAAATTTCCTTTTCTTTCTGTTTTTAATGTGAGTCTGTGTCAGGGAATTGCACAAATGAAGTCAGAGATGCTGACATGAACTTGTGGTTTTATATGACTAAATATATTTAATATCTATATTTACAGCAGACAAGGTAGTCAGGCACACACTAACATTATGAGGTAAATTGTCAAGTAAATCCTGGAGCATATAGAGCACACAGAAGAAAAAGGTGGGGGAAAAGGGAAACTCCCCCTTTACACCCACAACAACCAATCATGACATAGATTACCTCATACAGGATCAAGCACTCTTCAGCCAATCAACTACAACTGGGTTTTGTGGCCCATCTCACACTTTATTGTTCCAGCTATTAAATAACTTAACAGTCTGCAAATGACTCAAGTGTGTCTTTTCCCCCCATCTATAACGATACCTTATTCTATTTTTCTCATCCTTTCACTTTACTTTTCTCCCAGGTTGGGAGACAATTTGCCTTGCAAAACATATGCTTTGAGAATTGTATTCCAGCACTATGTTACATAAACATTCATTAATTTATTCATTCAATTTCCATAGCCACCCATCTGAGTCAATGATTCTGAGTGGCTTACAATTCAAAAATTGGGGTTATTGTGTACTTTTAATCATTGGGAATGTTCCTTCTTTTGCCCAGCATACTTAACTTCATTGAATGGATTCCTCAGCTGGGACCCGCAATATAAACATTTGTTTCCATGGCTGAAGCAAAATCCATGTTACTTCAAAAAATGTTGTGGGCAATGCAAGATCTTCTTTTACTGTTTTCTCTTTACTGAAAGTATTTTCAAACTTGTCCTACTTTTCTCAACATATTTTTTTTAAAAAAGGTGATGGTAGTGAAGACTGGTTTTGATCTTGGCTACAAATTTTAACTGTAATTATTCCTTACAGCTCAGCAGAATCCAGCAAGTCAGTTGTCCGTTAAACAGCAGCAAGACATCGAAATGAACCGACAACAGCGATATTTCCGAATTCCTTTCATCCGCCCAGCAGATCAATACAAGGATCCTCAGAATAAAAAAAAAGGCTGGTGGTATGCTCACTTTGATGGACCATGGATTGCTCGTCAAATGGAACTTCATCCTGATAAGCAACCCATTTTGCTAGTGGCTGGTTAGTATGTGTTTTGTTTTCATTTTTTAAATAAAATTGGAAAGGTAGGCTTTGTTTATTGACAAGATGTACTAAAGGTAAATCAAGATCTGAATTATAGTGCAAAGCAAAATATTGTTTTATTTAAAAAGATTGTCTTCACTTTCAGAAGAATCTTGAAAAATAGACAAAGCTCAAGTTCCTTTGGATAATGAGATGAACAGCACATGAGTGAATGAATGAATGAATGAATGAATGAATGAATGAATGAATGAATTTGCCAGCTTCTCCCTTGAGAAAAGTAGTAAGTAGTAGATTAACATTTGTTTATATATTGAGTTTTGATATTCCAAAATTATTCCTAGAAATTTACATATTATAAACATAAAACATGATAAAAATATAAAATTGATATGAAATGCATGTTCATCCCTGCAGGTTGTTATTATTTCCTGGTATCAAAACTGGTTGCAATGCAGAGTTGATTTTTAGATTACAACTTATTTTGTCGATCCACATTTCCTCTTGCATTATGGGAGTCAAAGATTCCAAATATTTGAGATATAGGTGATTAGAGGATTAAATAAGATGAATTACAAGAATTTGGATAGTTGTAGGTCTCCTCTTCTAAAGGCAATGAGTTTGGGAAAGTAGCTAGTGCTTGTTATAGTTATGTTCTCAATTTTGCATGTGTCCAAAACAAAAAGAGGTAAGCTTGTATTATAACTTTTGTGAAATATGGGGTTTCCTGTATTCCAGGCAAGGATGACATGGAGATGTGTGAGCTGAATCTCGAAGAAACTGGCCTGACTCGTAAGCGGGGTGCTGAAATTTTGCCGCGGCAGTTTGAAGAGATTTGGGAACGCTGTGGTGGAATCCAATATCTTCAAAATGCAATTGAGAGCAAACAAGCTCGGCCGACCTATGCAACTGCTATGCTGCAGAACTTGTTGAAATAAATCGTTATTTTGCACCTTCTGAGTACAGCAGAACTTTTAACATTCCATAATCATGTAGAGATGTTTAATATAAACTGGTTTTATTAATGTGTCGATTTTTAGTTTGTACTTTTGATGTCTTAATTTGTGTAGTGAGCTCATTCATTCTCAAGATCTATTTTTTTCTTTCAGTCAAGTATGTTCTTTGATTTAGGCCAGCATATGATAATATAAATAATACTGTAATATAGAGCAGAACTGGTAAATCTATGTGTCTCCTGCTGTGCTGGGTTCCAACATTTGTCAACTCCAGCTAACATAGTCAGTGCGATGGGGTAAAAGTCCAGCAGTAGTTGGAGAACTAGAGACCCCCATCCCTGATATAGCATAACACACTACCAATATGTAGTTTAGAATGATCCAGAATGGCATTTTATCTTCTGTAACACACTTCCCAGATACTATCTGGAAAAATGAGTTTCCACAAAGTAGAAGAAGCAGTGTTTTCTTTACACTAGGCTAACTAGAACTGTGAGGCCTTAATGTTCTTAACATTTAATGTACAGAAGTTAAAGTAGACTCCTATAAAGGTGAAAGATAACCCTTCACCATCACTTGCAAACAAGCATGTTGGGAAAATATGTCTTAAGGTAGATCGCAGGGTGTCATATACTGAATATAGAAAAACTTGAGCCTGAAGTGCTTTAGCAATTCAGAACTGAAATGATTTGATGCACTTTTAAGCAGTTGTGCATGTGTGTGTTTGTCTTCTTTTTTAAACTGCTTTATTATTATTTTTACAAAACAGGTTCTTTCAGACAATTCATGTTTACTTTTTTGTCATAAATGTATTGGGAATCCTTTTTCAGTTAAAGTGAAATATAAACCACAGAGGTGGTTCAATATTTATCCCTGCAGATATTTATGGCTGGAACCATCAGAGATATGAACTCCATGAATTATGTCACCAAGGTTGAATTTGAGTATGGGGACCTGTGTTGTCCTTCTATGCATCACTGAAATGAATATGGATTAAGTAGATTTTTTTTCTGACTTCTGATGAATTAGTAGAATCCTGGCATTTCTTGTTATATCATGCTGCTTCAAATTGTTTAAGGTTTTTCCCCCCTCTCCTAATCTAATAGATCTTTTCTTGTTGCTAATCTCCCAAGTTCAGGTTTTGTGGGCTTTCCTTTTTTTTTTTTTTTCCCCCCCTTTTCGGCAGGGTTTCCTTAACAGTAATTAATATACTTATAACAGTTATTTCTTTCAGACAGTTTTAAATTGCCTTTGGTTGATGTTGCAAAATGAGCTAATGTCAGCATAACAAATCTTGGTGTTATCACAGTTTTGGGATCTTTAGAGAAATTAAGAAATATCACTTAATAAAAAAAAATACAGATCACACTAGGAGAAAGTTTCTTTCCTTTATTAGAGTAATTTCGTTTCTCAGCTCTGATTTTTAAATCTTCAAAGAAGAATTTAAAAAGAAGAATGAGCTGAGTTCTCATTGGCTAGTAAGTTTTGACCAGATTGGGTGTAAAAAAGAAAACATATTCATAAATCTAAGCAATATTTGTACTATATTTAAGATTACTGAGATCATCAGTTTATGTATTCAGATGTGTAAGTATCATTCTCAGACCCAAATGAACCAGTCCAAATGTAGGCAGCTTTGACAGCTTTAGGCTAAACTTGGTGTATTGTCTACCCCATCAAGATAATCAAGATCAGATTTGTCGAAATCAAAAATATATTTCACAAGTAAAAGCTCTTCAGCTTGCAGTAAGGATATAAAGACAGCAGAAGAGAGTAAAAAAGGGAATGCAAGCCAAGTCATGAGTGTAAATCCACTTAGGGGGCGTTGAATCCAAATGGATGTTTGCATATCCTTTTGGTTTGGTTATAAAGTTCAAGAAATCAGAAATCACGCAAATGTTTTTTTTTTTTAGTCCATGGATAATGCTTGACTAGGAGAGCCTAGAAGCCCATGTCTCTACCCACAAAAGCCTCCGATGGCAGAATATAAGATTATGTTCCATTAAATACACAATCATTAGGTAGAAAGGTATGCTCGAGGATGGAAGACAGGTGTGCAGTCAGATAGTTTTCAAAATTGTCCCTGTTTGCTGAAATTGGATTGCATATGTGATTTTTCTTCCCCGTTTTGAAATTAGAATTTCTTCAACATCAGTCTTTCTGCATACCATGTGTTTTGTCCAGCTTGTGAAAGAGCTGCTTGTTGTAATGCATCACTTGCCCTATCACAATCCTGTTCTTTTTCTCTCTTTTCTTCAAAGCATCAGACTTGCACAGAAGAACTTCTGCTGGGTCTCATGAAAAGCCTCCAAAGGCTGTAGATTTGTAGAATCCCATAGTAAAAGCTCTGTTTAGATTGGTGATGCAAGAAAATATTTATATGTTAAATCCATAAAGGACTAGTTGACTCTGATTGATCTCAACATTCTAATCAGAATAAAACCTAATTAATACTGGATGGGAAGCAGGGAATAACAGGGAATACCAGGACTAGGAAGGTGGGGGACAGTGGTGGCAGACCACTTCCATATTGCTGCTACAAAAAATTACATGAAGCTGAGTTTGACTCGAAGGACTTGACTTATATATATATGTTCATCACGGATCAAACCCAGCTTATTTCCTTGGTTCATTTGTGCCTTTGGTTTCAGTGGGAGGCTGCGTTAAAGGCATCGCAGGACATCAGTGTTTTTATGTTGAAATATGAGGGGGAGGTTGAAATTTTTTTCAGTATAGCAATTAAGAGACAAAGTTGTTTCATTTCTTGCATGGAAACTATGACTCCGTTGACAGTCCCCAACTGTTTTGCTTCTAATTAACAATGACAATATCCTTTATGCGTGGAAATGCAACATGGAGAAATATTGATTGGAAAATTAGTTTTCAAAGAGAGAGAGAATATGGAAAAAAGGCTTAGTGCTGCTGCTATAGCCAAACCCAGAATCCTCTACAGTTGTACTGTTTTGTAAAACTTATAGACTGTGTTGAGCACCTCGATCATAGCTAAAGCTAAAGCAGATGGCCATTTTTTAAAATAATATTTGAGGACTCATTGTTGCTCTCTGAGCTTGCTTGTTTTCTTGTGGACATTTCATTACCCCAGGTAACATCACCAGTGCTAGTAAGGAGTGCTGTTTCAATATTTCTTTATTATTCTGGATTAATTTGATTGTCCTAGATGTGTCTGCAGTTACTATATCAATTGGCTAGTATAAGGAGTTGGCACCTTGATGCAAATTTTCTAAATTCCCATTATAAGAGGAATTGAATTTAAAAAGATATGACATTGTTTTCTATATAATATTTATTTAACAGATGCCACTATCTCCAATTAATCTGGTGAATAAAATACACACTGCATTAATACGTTTGGCAGATGCATATAGTTTCTCTTTTTTGCCCCCAACATCTGGCCAGAGATTTCAGCATAAAGATGAATGAAAATGCCAGTTCCTCAACAGAAAAAAATTAGAGACTGGTTGCTTCCTGTGTATTTGTGACCTTTCTGATATGAAAGCCCCAAGATACAAAAGTAGGTACATCTCCAGATAATACATTTACTTGTGCATCTGTGATGTGGTTTCAAAGTACAGGGAGTCTTGGGTGGCGGCTATTCTACCTCTGCAGACCGTCATATTTGCTTAGCTTTGCTAAATGAGGAATATACATACATCATCTACTCTAAATCTCATAAAATAGCAATCCTAGTTCCATGACCAAGTAAATAAGAGTATCATGTAAAAGTTTAGGTACTGCTCATCAAATTTAATATTTCAGTATACTACATGAACAGAAGCTGACAATTTCTAAATAGTATAAAGTTAAACACAATGCCTTTCTACAAAATTCAATTGCATACTTAAATATTTATGTGTAAATGTTTAACAAGCCAAAATAAGGAAACATCTTTTTAATCAGTAACTGTAACATCACCTTTGTCAGAATAGGTTCCAAATAGCTAAGAATTTGTCTATTCTTGTTTTAGAGTGTTTTTCCTACTCTTCCTTGCAGAAATATCTCTCTTACATGTTACATGATTGATTGTCACTATTATTCAGTTCTGAGGGCTATCTCCCTCCCTTCACATCATGCCTGATGTGAAGATAATTTTAGACAATTGCCTTGCTGAAATATCTAACTGAATATAGGATATTAGCTCTAAAATTCATTGACATTTACTTGAATCCATCTTTTCGCCTGTCCAATATTTGCTGTGCTGTGCAGTAGTTGATGTGCTTTGCTTTGCTGTGCTGTACACAACTCCAAAATATTTTTCTTCAAATGCTTCACTATTTTTGTCCAAATTCATCCCATGTTGGCATGGCTGACCAGTTAAGTGTTCATCAGTCCAAAGCATTTTATTTAAAATATTTTAGGCTTATCAAGGTTTTCTTTTGATAGGTGAGACTTTTGTGATAGTTTTAATAAAAAGATTATCCTTCTTCCATGAAGATAACCATATATTCAGTGCTGTTATGGAGAGCAGCTATTCCAGAGACAGCTTAATCTTTCAGCTGGTCTTAGTAAACAATAGTTGATAAGTGTAACACATAATAGATTTTCTTTCTTTTTTCCTTTCTTTTCCTTGTTTGGGGTTTGCTCTTTTCTATTTTTTTTATTTTAAGATTGAAGATCATTTTGCTAATTGTGTATGCATAAAATAAATTCTGAAATAATTCTTAAGTTATTTCCTGTGATTGTGAGTTCAGTGCAAATCTGAACAGTTTTCAAATCGCTCTAGCAGACATTTTGTTTGGGCTTCCAGTTCTCACCTTGACATCAACAATTCCACATAACTTCTGTATCTTAACAGTATTTTTAGCTGGAAAGCATTAGCTGAAAGCACTTAAAGATTTTGGTATAGTCATCCTCTTCCTTGAAATGTGAATTATCTTCATTTGCACATAATCGGATCCCTGCTTAGAGCTCTTAGTTGGTAAAAATATATAGAACATTTATAACCTGAGAGGTTAGAAAAGTCAGAATATTTTTCACCTGTGGAATTGGTGTCTCCTGGCTAAATGTAAAATACACCTGACAAGTTAACCACTTTCTGGTTATCTCATTAACAACTTTGCAGTTTTAGAAAAAGTAGCACCGAATCAATTAGAATGGTGCCCAAATTTCTCTATCTGCCATATAAACAGTTTACTTATTTTCGTTTGGTAAATAATGGTACGAAATACTTAGGTATGCATTCAAATATGTAGAAATATGTCATGGTTAATATTGTATGATGTAGAGATTGTGTCAGCTTCTATTCCCTTATGTATTCATTGAAACATATGTCGACCAGCAGTACCTAAATTTTGCATGCAATTATAAGCCTGCATACAACTAGCAGTTCCCTGAACAGTACAGGATTCTTAATATTACTTTGGAAATGTTCTCATCTGTAATTGTATCTCTTTCATCTCTGGCTTATTTCCTACTAAACTGTTCCAAGTACTTTGTCAAATAACTTTGATTGTGTACTGCAAATTATAACAAAATAAATTCACTCTGTTGATCTTTCTGCAATATTTCTTTTTAAAAGAATGGAAATGCTTGGGAAATTTTGACACTTAGATTTACTCCCCCCTCCCAATGATATACAAATTATAGCAAATAAGTAGAAAACATTTGCTATTAAAGTAATCTGGCTTTGAAACACAGTTTCAAAACTTTAAAACATTAGGCTAAAAGACAATGAAATGGAAGGATTGACATTTTCCTTCTAGAATTTTTTCTCTCAAGTTCTAATGCACTTTTTTTTACAATGCCATTGAAGTTGGTTATGATGTAAACAATATTTAACAAATGAAGAAAGCTAGTAGTTACTTGCTTAGCTATATTGAGAAATGTGATTCAGAAGAAAAAGAATCATAGTCTCTTAAGATGTTAAAAATATTTCCGTGTTGCTGCGATATCTAAAAAACATTCATTCTTCTAAATAAGCATGTCAGATGGAAAAATAGTAGATCATCTTTATCAGATGATCCAGAAAAAAACTCTTTAACTAGAGATACAGAAACATATTTAAATGACTTTATTGAAATACAAAATATTCTTCTCCAAATATTCTACCATATAATTTATTACTGGCCCATGATAAATTATGCTCGGAAACAATTCATGTTTAAAGTGTAAACATTGCTTCTGCCATTTGACTAGAAACTGGTATGAATAAACACACAGAAAATAGCTGTGAAACCAACCAGCCAACCAAAAATGAACATAAATAAGGAATTGTGAGTACATAGCCACCATGGGCACTTGATATATATACCGTATATACTCGAGTATAAGCCGAGTTTTTCAGCCCATTTTTTGTGCTGAAAAAAACCCCCTTGGCTTATACTCGAGTCAGATTCCCCTCTGGAAAAAAAATGGTGTGGAGCTCCGGAGCTAGGCAGGCGCTTCCCTGCTTCCGTGTTTCCTTTGCAACTTTTAAGCATGGGGGTAACCGGAAGCAGAAAAGTTCTTGCATGAGGATATATTGTTTTTTCTTTTTTTAACTGTTTTTAGGGGGGGGGGAAGACCCACCGCCATGTGAGAATGCTCAGACATGAAATCTATCTGCCCGAAAATGAGTGTGTGTGTGGGGGGGGGATTTTTAACAGAGGGAAGATGTAGGGAGAAGGCAAAAGCGAAGGAAGATCCTTCAGGGGAAACTGAGGGGGAGACTCACCCTTGGTCCAGATGAGCCCCCTTCCCCGCCCCTAAGGAAGCAGAGGCAGCCAGCAAGGGCAGGCAAGCCCCACTTCACGGACTCCGTTCGTCCTCGCTCCCACCCACCCACCCACCCAAAGCCACGAAGTCCCCCAATCGCGCAGCCCAGAATCGCCCTCCCCTCAGGGGGCAGCAAGGACGCCCGGTGTTTCCCGAGACAAGAAGCTCCGCCGTGCAATGAAAGCGCCCTGGCTCTA